GCAATTCTTACCTTTCATACCTTTGGTTTCATTGATATATATAGATTATAACATGGCATTTTTCATATCAGACCCCTTATCAGCCCTAGGTCATGATATCAGCCCGAGAGCCGACAGTTTGAAGGTAAACTAATAATAACTTAATCCAATCAAACTGCGCAAGATTCAATAACAATGCGCAGTCCACATCATAATTGGACAAGTTATAGGGGTAAACTGGGTATTAGGATGAAAATGACAGATATTTAGTTAATATTTATGCAATAACGAATAAAAATTTGTCAACAAAAAGGTTTGCTATAATTTCAAAAACATGTCGTTCTGTATTGGTATTGTTTTCGGAACTTTAAATAATTTGCGTATTTAAGGCGATACAAAGTTTGGGCTTCAAAAGTCTACATAATATTTGACTTTATACAGAAAATTCGTCCTTTTTAAACATTTAATATTTCACAAATAATACTTGATTTCAAAGTAAATTCGTTTCTTAAGACACTGCAAATGGATTCATTCTGATTGATATAGTGGTACTGTCATAAAGTGCGTTGAAATGAACAGTGGTACATTGTGTATAGCAAACATCCAATTTCCTCACAAAATGTTGTCACACTATAACGGAAAGCGGGGTCATTAATTGTGGTCCTAGGTCTAATTTCACTTTTTTCCAAAACTACTTGGCCACCGACATATTCTAAAAATAGTAATCAAAACACAACGTTTAGTTCAATTAAATGATCGAATTTTATATAACACAAAAAAGATCCCGATTTAAAAGGCTAAAGTCAACAAATAAAATATAATATTTATGTACATTTCCATTGAATAATATTCTAATGTTAATCTAACCATTCGGTCTCGGTACTTAAAGTCTTTCAATCGTTTATGGGTGGATTTAACATACATATAATATGTTTTTGTGAGGAAATTGGATATTTGCTATACACAATGTACCTTTTTAAACATTTAATGTTTCACAAATAATACTTGATTTCAAAGTAAATTCGTTTCTTAAGACACTGCAAAAAGATTCATTCGGATTGATATAGTGGTACTGTCATAAAGTGCGTTGAAATGAACAGTGGTACATTGTGTATAGCAAATATCCAATTTCCTCACAAAAACATATTATATGTATGTTAAATCCACCCATAAACGATTGAAAGACTTTAAGTACCGAGACCGAATGGTTAGATTAACATTAGAATATTATTCAATGGAAATGTACATAAATATTATATTTTATTTGTTGACTTTAGCCTTTTAAATCGGGATCTTTTTTGTATTATATAAAATTCGATCATTTAATTGAACTAAACGTTGTGTTTTGATTACTATTTTTAGAATATGTCGGTGGCCAAGTAGTTTTGGAAAAAAGTGAAATTAGACCTAGGACCACAATTAATGACCTCGCTTTCCGTTATAGTGTGACAACATTTTGTGAGGAAATTGGATGTTTGCTATACACAATGTACCACTGTTCATTTCAACGCACTTTATGACAGTACCACTATATCAATCAGAATGAATCTTTTTGCAGTGTCTTAAGAAACGAATTTACTTTGAAATCAAGTATTATTTGTGAAATATTAAATGTTTAAAAAGGACGAATTTTCTGTATAAAGTCAAATATTATGTAGACTTTTGAAGCCCAAACTTTGTATCGCCTTAAATACGCAAATTATTTAAAGTTCCGAAAACAATACCAATACAGAACGACATGTTTTTGAAATTATAGCAAACCTTTTTGTTGACAAATTTTTATTCGGTATTGCATAAATATTAACTAAATATCTGTCATTTTCATCCTAATACCCAGTTTACCCCTATAACTTGTCCAATTATGATGTGGACCGCGCATTGTTATTGAATCTTGCGCAGTTTGATTGGATTAAGTTATTATTAGTTTACCTTCAAACTGTCGGCTCTCGGGCTGATATCATGACCTAGGGCTGATAAGGGGTCTGATATGAAAAATGCCATGTTATAATCTATATATATCAATGAAACCAAAGGTATGAAAGGTAAGAATTGCCACTTTTTATATTTTCACAAAATTTTCCACATACACATTAGATAAACTATTTGATAATACTAGTAATCTATTGCAGAGAAAAAAAGAGAAAGTTTACTAATAAGACGTTTTATTCCATTTAATTTTGATATCTAGAACGAACTGAATTATTTATTGAGCTTACAAATTTCTATGATTTATTTTTTGGTTAATTGCCGTCAAATTTCAAATTTAAGGATTTAATCAAAGCTAAATAAAAGTTCAGTTTGGACTAAATTCAGATAAATACTCAAAACAAAATCTTTGTATTTGACAGCAATAAATCAAACTACCAAATAACCTAGTATTTTGCAAGATCAATATATATTGAGATAGCTGTAAAGTTTGTTAAAAATCAACATTAATTTGAAAAGTTTAAGAAATTTTCAAAGGTGATTATCTGAATTTAATCCGATTTGAAAATTCTAGTTCTTTTTACCTTTAAATAAAATCATTAATTTTGACAGCAATACATGAAAAAGTGACATTACATGATTAATATCTTATTTGAAAAAAAAAATAAGAAAGTTAATGAAAAAAATAGAAAGGTACAAACAATCTATATATATAAACATCATAAGATGGTCACGTTCCCTTATCACCATCTCATGGTGTATATATATCTCAACTTTTTCGATTCGCTCGTGTATGTAACAACGCATTTGATTTAAACGAAAGAAATCTATTCATTAGTGAAAAAATATTACATCAGGGTTTTCGATATCACAAACTATTTACTACATTTTATCATCGGTACAAGGACATCATTTGTACATTTGTAAGTATAAATCAATATACATTTTTTACGATCAGGTATTTCACATCCAATCTTTTATATTCTTAACAAAGCACAAACACTGTTGGCATTCACCACAAAAGCTAACAAAACCTTTAAACAGACTTATTAAGAAATGGATATAGTTACGATACTGTTGTCAAGTCATTAAAGATGGCATATTTTGTTTTTAATATTGATTCACTCATAGGGTCTTCGCATCGGAAATAAACACAGTTATTCTAAAACAGTGGTTGATATGATACGAGTTCTTCTCATATATTTTATGATGGTATGATACTAAAACCGTAAGGGGAGGGATTGTGCTTGGGTTTCATATGATAAAGACATAACCCTTCAATCAGTTTAATTGAGGTCCGGAGCAGGCATGTCAGTAACTGCTAGTAGTCCTTTATTAATCTATGTATCATTCTCATTTTGCTTAGCTTCTTTTGTTATCTATTCTGACATTGAGATCGGACCTCTTAAAACTGAGTTTTACTGTGCGTTTTGTTGTGTGTTTGTTTTTTCTACATTGGCTAGAGGTATAGGGGAGGATTGTGATCTAAAGAAAAACATGTTTAACCCCACTGCATTTTTGCGTCTGTCTCAAGTTAGGAGCCTCTGGCCTTAGTTAGTCTGGTAAGATTTTTAATTTTGGTTCATTTATATGTTTTGGAGTTTAGTATGACGTCCATTATTACTGAACTAGTACTCATTTTTGTTTAGGGACCAGCTGAAGCACGCCTCTGGGTGTGGAATTTCTCGCAGTGTTGAAGACCCATTGGTGCCCATCGGCTGTATGTTTTTATTCTCGCTGTTTGGTCGGGTTGTAGACACATTCCCAGTTTCCATTCTCAATTTTTTTTATTAATACTTTTGAATGATTGTTTTCTTCAACTACAATAAGATATTGTAAAAATAAAAATTGATGCGATTTCTGATAGTAATATTTCCTGTCCTAAGGTACGAAAATAAAGGGAATTTTAGTTAAGCGGGTGTTTGAAAAAGCGGTAACACATAATCAGTAATGCTCGAGTTTGTTACTGATTTAAATACTCATACATGCTACAATCCTCAAGTTAAAAATTAACATCATTCTAGTTTTTTTTTCTCTCATTAAGAATTATAATTTTAGCATAGTTGTGTGTCTTCGATAACTCCTATTTAAATAACCAAAATACAAATTTGGCTAAAATACGTTTACTGCACAAAATGACAACGGACAATGAGGTAGACCCCTTTCATTTTTTTTCTGGTCAGAGTTATCATCTAGTGATTTTGACTTATGTATGTAATAAACATGTTCATGATGTTCTTTGAAAAATTCCACGTGTAAATATTTCTTGTTTTCATGTTTGTTTATAACTTAGTACATGAGGTGTTGACATGAATATCAATTATATGGTCATTTTTATAAATTTACTGTTTGCAAACGTATGAACTATTCGAAATACTAAGGAATTTATTTTCCCAGGAATAGATAACCTTACCCCTATTTGGCATAACTTTTTGGAATTTTGGGTCATAAATGCTCTTCAACTTTGTTCTCTTTTGGCTTTCTAACTATTTTGATCTGAGGGTCACTGTTGAGTCTTGTGTAGACGAAACGCGCGTCTGGCGTATTAAATTAAAAGCCTGGTACCTTTGATAACTATTAGTACACCAGACGGGCTTTTATTTTCACCAAAAATATCAGATCTTGATTTAAAACAACTGGAAGAATAAAATGAAACGATAATTGAACACTTAACGTCTAAATGTCTGAGGGACGTTTCGTGATCCGATGTTATCACAACCCTAGTAGTCAGCACTTCTTTTCTGATATGATATATCATCGATACGGATTTTGAAGCTGGTGTTAGAAAGGGTCATTGGAAATACCCGACCTGAACATAAGATGTAGACGACATTTGGATAACATATATTTTGCGTATTAAATATTTGTCCTTGACATCATCTTTTTGGAATAGAAAATTATTTACGTATTATCATTTAAAATATGAAATACCAGTTTGACATCGAACGGCTTCATAATAATCCTATATTTAACTGTGGCATGACAATACAACGTTTATTTCAATTTCAATCAATAACCGAATTTCAGTTATTACTAGTACGGACACGATTTAAAAACCTGAATATTACAAATACAATCGACTTTCATTCTATACGTTTTGAGGGAATTCTGTTTGTGTTTTTGTTTTGCATGAATCAAACGTATTCAATTTGATACTCAGACAAGTTATAAAATGAAATTGTATTCCATGTTTGGAAATCGCAAATATTATTTTCTTTAAATCTTATTCATTTGTTATTAAGGAAACTTTTGTCACAATCTTCAATCATATTCTGATTGATTTTGAGATTTATCACCTGAGACAATTTAATAAGGTAAGTTTTGTTTATAGATATAAGAAGATGTGGTATGAGTGCCAATGACACAACTCTCCATCCAAGTCAAAATTTAAAAAAGTAAACCATTATAGGTCAAAGTACGGTCTTCAACACGGAGCCTTGGCTCACACCAAACAGCAAGCTATAATTTATGTCCATTGTTTTGGTATATATTCATTATTTGAATAGTTCACAAATGATTTTATTTCGTCAAAGTATCCATATCCTCTCAGTGCATCCAAGGTAAATATCTATATGAAAGCAAAGGACCGTTTTAAGGTGTTTATATATCTCAACTCTTTCACTTGAATAGATACAAAGATTTGGTCTGCAATTATAGCTGTACCTGTAGAAAACTTATTTCAAACAGAATAGCACATTCTAAATTTTAAAGTGATGTCGTAAAACGAGCAAGGAAATTTATATACGATCCATGTGAATGTATCAATCTTTTATATGTAAGGTTAATTAAAGATTGAGCAACTAGACATACAAACCCATAAAAAAAAATCTTGTGGTGAACACTGGTTCCTAGCATTGTAAGCGTGTCCTTGTTCACATGTAGCACCCGTAATGTTGCTTATGCAAGCACAAAAACGGTATTTAGTCTTAATTGGTTTTGTCACAATAGAGGAAGTGATTGTGGTAACGACAATTGGTACATAAGATTTTACCAAACTGTCAAGCAACTCAAAAGTTAAACTTTTTAAAGGATGTCTTTAACACTACCATTTAAAACCGCTGGATACATATCTTCTTTGCATGCAGAAATCATCTTTTCAGAAAAATAATAATATGAAACGCAAGATCTAGGATATTGTCTCAACTAGGAGATATATACTTCATCTGAAGGCGCGGCTGAAAATCGCTACATAGACATTGACAATTTAATTTTGTCGTAATGTTTCGTTTTCAGCAAACATTTAGTGTCAACATCTAGATGTAAGACAACAAATGAGGTAAACATTATATGTTTATCACCGATAGATGAGTTCAGCACAAATAAGTATGTCCTGCAAAAATGTCATATTTTCCCTGTTTTCTTGAGATTTCATAGAAAATCAAAACGTGTGCTATTTTTATGACTCTAATACGTACAAATGTACATTTTCAAAATACAAACTTATATTTTAACCTAGTCATTGAGAGCTACGATTAATTCTAATTATGGTTGATAAATTCTGATTTGGACTTTTTACAAGAAAAACTGTTCATGTTAAGGCGAACCTAATTCTTTGAATTATTAAGTGGTAGGACATCATATGTATTGTGGAACACGGAGTTAAATAATAATGCAAATTCTTTTTATCATATCGGTCAAGTTTCTGTATTAAGTCTAAAACCGTACAATGCCACATACATGTAGCTTTATCGACAGGATGTTGAGTAATTCGTATTCGTAATTGTACATCAATGGATATTTGATGATGTTTTCATTTATAAAAAGAATCAAATCAATGTTAATAACACTAGAAGCAACTAAATTTAACAATATGTACTATATATGTAGGACTCTAAAGTGCTATGGGGACGCTAAAGTGCGATGGTCACGCTAAAGTGCGATGGTATACGCTAAAGTGCGATGCCTGCATACGCTGAAGTCCGATGGTCCGCGAAAGTATAGACGTAAGAAACGTAGTTTGATTATGACGTTAACAGTCGTTTATACAAACTAAAAATGAACATACTGGAAGATAAATTACTAATATTTGATTAACAACTGTTAAACCAAATGTCAATGACTTATTAATAATTAATTTAAACCTAACCGTGCTTTGACGTCTGAAGCAAATGTGTTTTTTTCGGTAGCAGGAAGAAGAACTTGTATCGACCATTTTACTATTTAGGTACAAAATAGTATTCGCATAAATATCCTTATCGTGCTTTTATTGGAAGCGAACGGATACATTTAAATCATTGTTTATGTTGCAGTTTACTTTGCGGTCCCCGTTAAAATATTGTCGCTTTAAAAAGTAACATCGGTAAAATAAAGGTACATGATTGCATGCGTAAATTATAAATTGTCGGCTAAAATATTAGTTTGTACATTATAGGAAAATATAACATGTATGTGTAGTCGCTACGAAAAAGGAGAAAACTCGGCGAACATCGCCTTTTTCTCTCATTTAAATTAAAGCTTAAACAAATAAATGTTACATATTCCGACAATAATCGAATTTTGTATTTGTAATTTACAATGACGACTGTTAGGGGAGGTGTTCCCATTAGTGATAGACTGTGTGAATGGCAAGCTACGCCAATTATCACAATATTTAATACGCCCGAAATGTTAAAAATTCATTTACAAGAAATATAGTATTTTGTGACACCTAAATTACCTTTTTAGCAATTAATACGTAGTCGGTCTTCTAAATTTAGAAACAATCACTTCAGCCTACCAGTAGATTATAATGCCTATCACATATGGTATACCTTAGAATACTAGTGTTGCAAAAGAACTATTTTTACATCTTATGTTCTTATTAAGAAAAAATCACACACCTTATTAAATGGGCATTTAAAAAGTCGGAATGCGAAAACATATGTTCAAACTCTTTTAGGTCATTTTTTAGTAGCAACAAACAAAAGAGCTATGTCAATTGGACATGCTTTGATACTATATCTGCCCTTGAATTTTTACTTGATAACATTTTTGTTCGCTTTGGAGATTCCGTATATCGTCAAGTTATCGGAATTCCAATGGGGACTAACTGTGCACCACTTATTGCGGACCTGTTTTTGTATTGTTATGAGTTACAATTTATGACTAAAATCAGCAAAGACCCATCGAAACAACATCTGATACAAAAATTTAACAATACTTTTAGATATTTGGATGATATATTGGCTCTCAATAATGACGACTTCAGTATGTATACTAAAGAAATTTATCCTGTTGAACTTACTTTAAATAAAGCTAATACTATCAATGACCACTGTCCTTTCCTCGATCTTGATATCTATATCATTAACGGGAAGCTTTATACAGAAATTTATGATGAAAGAGATGATTTTTCATTTCCTATCGTTAATTATCCATTTTTAGATGGTGACGTTCCCTTGTCACCATCTTACGGTGTTTATATATCTCAACTTGTACGATTCGCTCGTGTATGTAACAACGTATTAGATTTTAGCGAGAGAAATTTATGTATTAATGAAAAATTATTACACCAGGGTTTTCGATATCATAAACTAGTCAAAACATTTACTAAATTTTATCATCGGTATAAGGACATCATTCGTAAATATAACTCAACATGCAGACATCTTATACGTTCTGGTATTTCACATCCAATCTTTTATGGTAATATTCTTTACAAAGCACAAAAATGTCAGTATTCACCTCAAAAGCGAACAAAACCTTTAAACAGACTTATTAAGAAGGGATATAGTTACGATACTGTTGTCAGGTCATTAAAAATTGCATATTTTGGCTTTAATTTTGATTCACTCATAGGGTCTTTGCATCGGAATTAAACATATTTATTCTAAAACCAGTTGTTGGCATAACACGGGTTATGTTCTTCTCATATATTTTATGATGGTATAATACTAAACCTCTAACAGGAGGGATTGTGCCTGATATTCATATGATGAAGACATAATCTTTCAATCAGTTTAATTGAGGTCTGGAGCTGGCATGTCAGTAACTGCTAGTAGTCTGTTGTTATTTATGTATTATTGTCATTTTGTTTATTTTCTTTTGTTTCCTATTCTGACATCGGACTAGGACTTCTCTTAAACTGAGTTTTACTGTACGTACTGTTGTACGTTTGTTTTTTCTACATTGGCTAGAGGTATAGGGGGAGGGTTGAGATCTCAAAAAACATGTTTAACCCCGCCGCATTTTTGCGCCTGTCCCAAGTCAGGAGCCTCTGGCCTTTGTTAGTCTTGTATCATTTTTAATTTTAGTTTCTTGTGTATAATTTGGAGTTTAGTATGACGTCCATTATCACTGAACTAGTATACATATTTGTTTAGGGGCCAGCTGAAGGACGCCTCCGGGTGCGGTAGTTTCTCGCTGCATTGAAGACCCATTGGTGGCCTTCGGCTGTTGTCTGCTCTATGATCGGGTTGTTGTCTCTTTGACACATTCCCCATTTCAATTCTCAATTTTATTTAACATTTTTAAAGCCCTCGAGCCTTACCCTATTGGTCCATCACACTTTAGCTTGATATACCACCGTACTTTAGCAAACAAACAACCATTGCACCTTTATCGTGAGACACCATCGCACTTTAGCGTAGACCATCGCACTTTAGCGTGACCATCGCACTTTAGAGTACCATCGCACTTTAGAGTCTTACATATATACCATGGTTTTTTACGAGTTAACATATTTAAACAAACGAATCCGAAGGATGAGTTTGTTTAAATATGTTATGAGTAAGACACTGGTATATATAATTTGTAATATAGATATAATGATTGACAGTTTGAACTAACATTAGATTTTGATCACGTTACCTCTTTATTCCAGTGAGATGAAAGCTCGCGCAAGTCAGTTTTGCGTCCTGTGTATGATTGTATAATGCTTGAATGTTATTAAAAAATACAAGTGTACGTGTAAATTCTAACAACTGCAACCTTTCATTTTTTCTGATTTTATTTTATTCAGAACTGAAATAAGAAACTTATTGCATTTTCCAAACTCAAGGGAACTTAAAATTACTATTTAACTTTAAAAAGGATTCTTGAGATGCGGTTCAAATGATTTATTGCTTTTTGTCATAAAATGTAAACACATACATGACCTTTTACGTTTTTACGTTATTTAATTTCCTTAATATTTCAGAGGCGAACATCTTTTCAAAAATGGGGTGAAGCTTCAGCCATGGAATATTAAGAAAATGAATGTGTTGTACCATAGCTTTTTTTTCCTTTGTTTTCTAGTTGATCTGTATGGTACAACATCAAATTGCAGATAATATACCATGGTTTTCCCTAAACACATACATATTTTAAGCAAATTATTTCATAAAACATCAAAAGAAAAAATGCAATTTATATTACAATATATTGTCAACCTTTTAGACGTGTGTTGATAAACGACGGAAACGAAAACAGTAGAAATATTCATGAGGACGGAATTCCTCAAAACGAAATGACAAGCATAACAAAAATCAATACAAATTCTTTGAGTTACCTGTCGTAGGTGTATTGCCACTGATTTTTACGATTTGTTCATATGTTGTCCAAGATAATGGGATGATTCACAACCATGTTTCGCCCGATTATATATTTTTTTTTAATTTCTGTCCAAAGTCCGAAACCCGTTCTTTAGTAGTTGCTGTTGGTTAATGTCTGTATTATTTGTTTGACATGCATTGTTTCGTTATGAATATGGTCGTTAGTTTGTCGTTTGAATTTACTTCACTTTTCATGTCAGGTCCTTTTATATCCGACTACTAGATATGGGTGTCTTCCTCATATAGAATAGTTACCTTAAAATAATCATACTGAAGTTGTGCAAAATTTATAGATGGTTTAAATTCAAAATTGTGTTAAAAGTTCTCATCTTGAATAATGGATAAAGAATAGAATCTATAGTGCTGTTACTTTGCTTTTGGTTGCACCATGTACTAGTATATGTACTGAATTCGCGTTATTGATTTACTACATCAATCTCTTTCCAGTTCATATCTTCATCTCTACTCGGTAATCGTTTTCGAGAAAAAAAAAATATCTGAAAAAGTAATGTAAAGTGTGATTATCGGATATTGATAGAGATATTTTGTTTTCATTTTAATGTTACATATATTGAAATGTGATGAACAGGTGGAAAAGTAATTATTAACTGAAATATGACATAGATGTTTCTTTTTGTTTTTGTTTTATTGAGTTAATACTTTTTTGATTTCCTATTGGTATTCTTTTTTCTTCAGAAAATTATTAGATATGACGAATTTCCTGCCAATGCTGATTTTAATAAACTGTTATATAATACAAGGTAATATCATGTTAGAAAAACAATTCATAATACAAAATCACTGAAGGTTTTGACTAATTGCTGAAAAAGTACTGATAGCATGCAGAACTGAACAAAACAAGATGGCATACGAATTACAACATATAATTATGTCGAAAAACTGAAGAAAAAAAAAGTGTCATTGCAAATGTTATATGCAATTTATATAAAAGAAACTGGACAATGTATCATTGCTGGATTGACCTTAACGCCAAAGACAGGTCTTCAAAAGAAGTATATTTCAACGATGTATGGTATGATGATGAGGATATGTTGATTTATAGTGATGAAAATTATAACACATGGATGACTGCTGTACCCCAATTTTTGACATTTGTACCTATAGTGTCTGTTTGTTTTGTTCACACATCGTTGTCACTGTAATGGAATTTTGTGGGCGAGGTTTGGATAGCCACAAAACCAGGTTCAACCCACCATTTTTTTTTCTTTTAATGTCCCGAACCAAGTCAGTAAAATGGTAGTTGTTATTTTATAGTTCGTTTCTGTGTGTGTTACATTGTCGTTCTTTTTTTTTTGTATTGTTCCATATGATTAGGAACTTTTAATTTTGAATTTTCCTCGTTTTTCGGTATTTTTGTGATTTTACTTTATCACTGTCCTGTGAATTGATCAGTATTTTACGTATTGTGGTGTAATGATGCAAAATTATTTCAAGATACCTCAAGATACTGATTATCATTACCATTGAATTTAAGAAGAAGATCTTACAGCCTGTATAGAGTTTGAAATCAGAAGAGTAAAATTATATTTTTTTATCATTTATCCTGGATATTATTACTGATTTATGAAATAATATGTTATTCAACGTGTTGCCATTAATTGACGAAGTCATTCATTTTAAAAAAAAGTTGCAGGTGTTTTGGAATGGACAGTTGTGGGAAAGGTGACAGATTATGGACAAAACGTAACATTATTTTGTAATGTTTCGAACTGCTGCCCTAAACATGCTGGTTGGGATATGTGGACTCCCGCTCAACGCACTCTGTACATAGACGTCAAAACAGGACTACCAAATAGAAAATATGATGGCAAGGCTTTGACGAATGGATACACCTTAATAATTCAAAATCTGACTAAAACAGATCTTAATGTTTCGTATTCTTGTTTGTATGGCGTAGTATTGGGTGAAATAAAACTTCTAGTAGAAGAGGATGTTTTCACCTGTAAGTACAATCAATTAATATCTGTGGTTTTAGAAAAAAGTGGGTACGATATGAATATATGAACAAAAGGAGACATTTATTTATTATTTATATTTCAACTGTGATTATAGGTGTAATACCACCAAATCATGGTACGTCACATCCGGTTGCATACGAAAATAGGTCGAAAAAAATATTCCCTTGAATTTGACAGTTGTAGGTAATTAATCCTATATTTTATTGCAGTAAAACATTTCTGGGTCATAAACATATGTCTTTGGTATTTCAGAGCAACATTATTTTTTTTGAATTTTTTTTGGGGTCTCTATAGAATATTTTGGAAACTTGAGGTTACATGGTTACTAAAGCTTGTACACAGGTTAAATAAGGGGGGAAATTTGATTGGTTAACTTCCAGTGATGGTTATTTTCTTATATGCAATGAAATGTTACGTGAAATTTTTTCTATAGTACTGGACAGGATAAAACTTTACTCGTGCCAAGTCTTTCTTTATTTGAAACAAAGATAAGTTCTGCCAAATTTTTTGAAAAGTGCAAATTTAACAAAGACTAATAGGGGGAAATCAATGGTGGTATAACACCTAATATGGGTAGCTGTACATGCACATTTGACCTTGCGAGTACTCTCATGTGTTAAAATGTATTGCTATCTAAGTGATATATTACAAAAAATTAAATATTTTGAGTGGAATGAGTCTCCAAAACACAATTTATGTGAAAATTTCCTTGAAATAAGACTCTACCATGAATATTCTGTTGACAGAACAAGCCATACATAATGTTTTGGGGAGCTTTTTCTCCTTATTTCTTATATTCTTCTATAATAGAAAATTTTCCTAAGAAATACTTTAATAAATATATAGTTATAATAAGTAAATGAAATTATTTTTAATGCAGTAACAACAAATTATTCACTAAAAAAGAAGCTGTTTATGTCCCTTTCTGGAACGCGGCGTATATTTTATTTTTACGCAAGGACTTAATGAAACATCCTTGGAGACAGTAAATAGTTATCAAAGGTACACTTTAATATGGTTTGTTAATTCTGCTTGAATACTTCAATTACTCATTTCATATGACATTTCTATCATAAATGAGTGAAAGTTACCCCATTTTTTTTATATTTATTGGCCTGAAAAGTTGAAATTTTGAGGAAATGAGAGGTATAAATGGACCAAAAGAGACCTTATTAAGAAGACAAAGAGGTCCATTAGTGGTATTTATCTTCCTAAAGTCATCTTTTGTATCATATTCAACTGTTTGTAGGCAGATGAGATAAATATATGATCATTCATTGGTCCACACTATATCATATCATGATGCGGCTTGTTTTGGATTTGTCGAAGAAATGTTGCTCGAATCGCTGTAGATGTCGTCTTTCATGATACTAGATGTTTCTCAAACTATTGAACTGATTATGACAAAACTTGACAGAAATGCTTGAAATAACCAGTATTACAAAGGAAAGAAGTCACATTCAGTTTATTACACAATAATGTCTACTTTAGGTGTTTACCACCAAATTATGGTACGTCACATCCGGTTGCATACGAAAATAGGTCGAAAAAAAATATTCCCTTGAATTTGACAGTTGTAGGTAATTAATCCTACATTTTATTGCAGTAAAACATTTCTGGGTCATAAACATATGTCTCTGGTATTTCAGAGCACCATTATGTTTTTACTTGGGGTTTCTGTAGAATATTTTGGAAACTTAAGAATACATGGTTACTAAAGCTTGTAGACCGGTTAAATAAGGAGGGGAATTTGATTGGTTAATTTCCAGTGAAGGTTATTTTCTTATATGCAATGAAATGTTATGTGAATTTTTTTCTATAGTAATGGACAGGATAAAACTTTACTTGTGCCAAGTATTTCTTTATTTACAAACAAAGATAAATTCTGCACACTTTTTTGAAAAGTTCAAATTTAACAAAGACTAATAGGAAAAGATCAATGGTGGTATTACACCTATAGGTGCTAGAACCAAACGTAGGTTTACAGAAAAAAAGGTTACAATATCTTTTTAATATCGTATTGTTTGAAATGGTACGAAAGAGAACACAGAGAAAGATAATACGTGTCAGGTACATGTATCAAAGAAACAGGAAACTCATGGAACCTTCTTAATAAAATTCTGAGTTAGTAGAATACCCAAACCTATATATAATAAAACACATACATACAGAACAGAAATATTAGTAGTTTAGAATAACCAAAGCTATATATAAGAGAACAAATACATACAGAACAAAAATATGAAAGTATGTTAAAGTCCATAATATACCGGTCAATTTTAATTTTGTCTGTGAACGTTACTGTTCAGGACTGTGTTCGGGGTTATCTTTATTCTAGTGTGTGCCAACAATGATTTCATATTTGCCACAAAAATCAACATTAATGATGTTTGAATAAACTAAAATATTCCTGAAGTCGATATAGATAAAATCTCGTTGAAATTTTTAAAGAATTTCCACATGATTGTCCATTATATCAAGTTTATACTTTTAGACTTTTACTTCACTTTTCATGCTTTTCTCTGATTCCTTGTCTGGCTTTTTTGGTTTTAATGTATTGTCCATTTTCAATGTTTTGATTCAAAGCTCTTTGTCTTTTTAATTTTTCGATTTTTAATTATTTGGGCCTCGAGCATTAATGAAGAGATATGATGAAATGCGCATCTAGTGCAGAAAAGGTATACTTTTAAAGTCATTTCATTGATAGTTATATTTTGCTTGTCAATACCAATTTTTTACAAACAATCTATATGTTTCGGTAATGATGTTTGTAATGCATGAAGATTTTAAAATGATTCGGTAAGACTTATCTATCCTTAGAAAAAAGGTATTCGTAAAGAATGTAATTTTTTACGCCACAGTAATTGATTTAGATTTTGTTCAATGTAAAATTAATATATATTGCATTTTGTCAAAGAAAATGTATAGTCATACATCTTGTCGATTTTATATTCTTATATTTTGGCATTGCAAAACTATTATATTGTTTCTTATTGTTTATGATGTCTTTACACTTAATAAGTGTACTGGTTAATACTTTAGTCTATGATGCCATGATTTATTTATTAGTTGTAGTTTTCTTTAACTAATTTAGATTATCGTTTTGTCTTATGTTTTATAATAGTTATTTTGTGTGCTTCACTTCCGATTTGATGAGATTAATTATTACCAAGAGATTTTTAATGTTTGTTCTTGTGTTGTACTGTTACATCATTGTCTAAAATTATTGGATGTTCTTATTGGACATGATGCCACATCTCCTGTTTTGTATTAGCAAGAATGATCTTTAATATTTCCTCTGCACACGCCTTAATGTTGGTGTGGATATTTTGACTACCAGGTATACTTGTAATCACTGATTCTGATAAGACAAACTACATAATTATTTTCTTCTGAAAATACAAAATGAAACGTGCTTTACCCGCCATGTGCAGTTTTTTATCTTGATTAAATGACAAGCATAGCATTTTGTTTGTATATAGTTTCTGTTAAAACTCTACCAACCGTCTTATTTGCAACTGTTGTTTTTCGTAAACCTTGCAAAATGTACCTACTGTGATCTGGACTTATGTATTATATTATAATTTTATGAACATGGTTTAAATGTGATTGAAAAAATGCCCATTCGCATTTTTAGATTGGATAAAACAATTTGAAAATTTGCTCACCTACAAAACCAAATAGTTTGATTTTACACGGTTGGTGAAAATAATGTCTGTAACATATACTACATTGTACTACTAGAAGATGCAAGCGAAATCGTGGTACAATTGGCCAAGTGGTAAAACAAAGAGTTTTCAAATTTTAAACACGGATAAGTAACGGTCTCCGAATTGGGTTATTTTCTCAAAAAATTGCGTGTTCTGTGGAAAAAAATTCAAAGACAAATTTAGAATGTACAAAACATTAAATGTATTCGTCATATCACAAATATTTACGACTTTGTATGGTTTCAAAGGAGGTGCGGCTGAATGAAATCGGACTCTTCCTTTAGTAGTAAAGAAGTTCATATTCAATATCGATATATAATTTGGTCAGAATCATGTAGTGTCTTATTAATGCCCTATATATTATTAGTAGGCTTATTGTTTGTTATTTTACAGAAGTTATATTACGTTTCAACTAAAGTAGACAAGATATCTAATTAAAACTGTATGGTCATTTTACATAGAAGTGTATCTTCCTAATGATTTAATGCGATTTGAACATCAGTAAAATGTGGTGCCTCTTGTTTGCTTAATCATAATGAGTAGAGGAATTATAATAAGTTTTACAATGATGTAAATATTGTATAATCACAAGAAAAACTTCTATCAAATATAGATTACCTAACCATAACTGTAATTTATTTTTCAATTACAAATTTATCGAGGGAAGTTCATTATTCTTTAAATTTTAAAAAAAGGAAGAGGTCAAGTATGTGTTGTGTATTTGTACACGTTTTTGTAACAGAAGTCAGCTATATTTCATTATTCATTCATCAAATTAAAATATTGCGTCGTCTGACAGCGCCAAGATTATGTGTCACACAATAATCATTTTCGTCTTCCGCATCACAATTTGTTGTTAGTTGCAAACCGCTTGACTTAATTCACCCATCATTGCACTGTTTTGTTTACAGGATGTGCAATTGTGCAGCGCCAAAAGTGTTTTGTTTAATCTGCGAGTCTTTTATATTCTCGTATTAAAATTTGAGCACTGACATTTTCTCTTGATAATTTTGAGGAAAAATATGCCAAACGTCTGACTTAATAGACTCGGTCATATTTATGATTACAAACTGTAGGTGTCAGTTTCAAATACTGTACGCTAGAGGTCAAACAACATTTGATTATATAAGAATCATTGACAGTGCACAGTTCTGTCTAAACGAGTTAATCTTACACATGCCATATTCTCATTGTACAATTTTTCGTTTGTTAAACTTGCCAAAGTTAGTTGTTTTCATCATAGAAATCATTCCCAATTTGTACAACAAAAAAGGCATAAAGCATGTGTTTTGTATTGTTGCTGTAATTTGCAAAATAGTACGATTTTACTGTTAACCATTCGTATAACAATTTTGACAATAATGTTTGAGTGTATATTGTAAGAATCAAGATTTAAATGAATATTTCAAATAGCCATAAAAAATGTTAACCGTTCTAAAATTTTAGTATTTAATAAACCTTCAAACTTGAGTGTGGCCTTTTTACTGTTTTTTTTTTCGAGCGAAACTTGTGTTCCTAATGGTGAAGTTGAAATCATCCCTTCGTAAATTTTACGGACGCCATCACGAGTTGGTTGACTGTTACGGAATATCCGTTTCACAGATGATATCGGATATGTTCATAATGTCGTAACTGCAATCCCGTTCCCTTTCCACCAATGTGACCTACCAAATTAGACTATTTACTGGGTTTGTAATAACATGATCAACATGACGGATGTCCTATAAAGAACAGGATCTGCTTACCCCTCCGGAGCAGCTGAGACCAACCCCAGTTTTTGGTGGGGTACGTGCTGCTTAGTCTTAAGTTTTATATGTTGTGTCTTGTGTACTATTGTTTTTCTGTGTCTTATATTTTTTTAACCATGGCGTTGTCAGTTTATTTTTTATCTATGAGTTTGAATGTCCCTCTGGTATCTTTCGCCTCTTTTTGGGGACTTTTGAAGACGACACGACACGCCTGTCCTGCGAACAAAATTGCAATAGATTATAATATTAGTATTTATTATAGGTTTCTTTTTACCGTGTAACTCAAACATACGGTGGCCTTTTTTCAGACACTGTAACCCAAATAGAAAATACAGAAAAATGTTATGTTTGCTTATTTACTTTATTTGATTATAGACGAGAGTACTTCACAACCAAATGTGCCAACTCATAACAGAATATTATCTGAGGGTACAATGTAAGTTAGAATGTTTACTTATTTTTTGCTTTGGTATTTGTATCTGTGTATCTAAAATACATTGTAAGCAACATATTATTTCATAATATCAAAAAATATTCTCAAATTTAAACAATTCAATCGATCTAACTGTTTAATTGTTCATTGAGCATAAGTATTCTTTGTCGATACTCTGGGAAACGTTGAATCAAAGAAAATTGTGTGATATCTTAATTGAAAATGGAAAATGCTCTCCTTACTACTCTATGTTCAAGAGAGATCACACACAGGCTTATGCCTACATGTAAGTCACACAATTACGGATTAAGATTGCTGAATTGTAGCCGTAGGTATACGTAGTAGAACTTGCATATCCATAATAATTTTTATACATGCGCAAAATTTGACCACTGATCAAACAACCGTAGTGTATCCTTACTAAACCGTAATAGAACGTACTGATCCTTTTTAGTCCCGGTTAAAACCGTATTAATCTATACCTATTCGCAGGTCCGATCGATTGTTGCGGTTAGCTAGTAGGAGAACTACGTACTAGTAAAGTTATACCACGTATTTGTTAAGGATACAATATGGTTTATTAAGAATTTGTCACGGAACGGCACGATCTCATAACGTTGCAATACGGATAACTAGGGATCAGCCAGGTTTCTGAAAGTAGCTCTGAATTTGACGATATTATTTTCTGTCTTAAAAACACATAACATCTGTGTCAGATAATAAAAGGTAATATTCAATGTAAAAAAATATTGCCTATATATGATGTTTGTTCAAGTCCCATATATTTAGGGACTTGCATAGAAAATTAAGGGTTATAAAATATAGAAAAGTTATTATGAATTTCTTTTTCCTCCAGTACGTTTGACGGAACACATTTTGTTGTTGAGATGTTGTGTTGAATTGTATCAACTCGACTTTTGTAACTCTTAATTCGACTATGTATCTCTCCATTCGACTCAAGTAACTCGCAACTCGACTTTCTCTATTCGGAAGTTGACTTTTGTAACCTGCAAATCATAAATCCACGTTTTACAACGTATCCCAACCTTTTAACTAGAAACTCGACTTTTATACCTTGAAAATCCACTTTTTTTAACTTGTAACTCGATTTTCTTATTTCGCAACTATAATTCTCTAAGTCGTTAGTCGATTTCCTCGAAAATAGCATGAATAAGAAACCCACCTTTTAAATTTGCAACTGTAAAATGTTATCAACCACCAATTATATGTATTTCAGAGCTGCTTTAATAACTGGAGTTATGGTGTTAGTATTAGTGACAATTCTGGTTTATTTATGGAAACGAAGAAATAAACGAAACAGAAGCAGAAAGGGATCAGGTAAACATGTACAGAACACAAAACGGTTATTAAGAATAAATAAACCATACTACGGAATCAAAAGCACATCCGTTTATACTGTGCACGTTCAACAAACATGTGTACTAGTTCAGTGATAATGGAGGTCATAGTAAACTCCTAAATATATACATGATCACTCTCAATAAATTAACAAATTAACAAAAAGAAACAATAAAAATTACAAAACGATTCAGGTATTCGGCATACCATGGTTCATTAAGTGCAAAGATTCTCAATTTGTCAATTTTCGAGATTAATTCTAATTTCGACTCCACATAAATGTATTACAATGTACATGCAATTATTTCTAACTGAATTTTTTTTTTGCCTATCTTCACCTTAAACTTTCACAATGACTGATTATTTTCAGCACCAATATACCGACACCTCATAGATCCGAACCATCATTTGTTCGATATCACTGATCACTGACACTTTTCAAAGGAAACCTTTTTTTTTCTAATTTGTGGTTGTTGATTGTTACTCTTTTCTAGTAAATATTCTGTAATAATGTAACTTATTTCACATTTTTACTATTTCCATGCGATACTGCAATAGCAGTACTTAATAAGTAACAAATAATTATAGAGATTCAAAAACTCTACCAGTGACACTCATGGTGTTACTCATATTGTAAACGTACATGTGATGATTCAAAATCCATTAACATTAGATGCTATAAAATATACAATTAATTATGTTTTCTTGTCCTAGCTTAGGCACAACAAAATGTTAAAGGTGTCTGATCAAGGATCATCTTAGTATTTCAGAAACATAGTGAGAAACAAGAAACAAATCGATACTGTACATATATATGAGATACTGAGTAGTAAAACGATATGGATATTGAAAACAACATATTTACAAGAAATTTCACACAAAAAGATCAAACAACAAAAGGGGATTCTTTTAAACGAAATAGGGTAGAGCGCTACCAAATCGTGACAACCCCGCCACCTTCTTCATAAGCCTGTCTCAAGTTAGAAGTTTGTAGTGCGGTGGTTGTAGTTGATTTATGTGTGTAATATTTCTTTCTACAAGCTTTTTTATGAATTAGGCAGTTAGTTCTTTAACGACAGACTACATAGTATGGAGTTCTCACATTGTTTAAGGACAAACGGGGACCTATAATTGCCTATATCATTTATTTAAACTCTAATGGAAGATCTACAAATTGACAAACAAACAACATCGCCTTGTGAAGGTGTGAACTCGTGTGAACTCGTGTGAACTCGTATAGAGGGTAATTAGTTATAGCTTAATGTAATACGAATTATAAGGAATAATACATTTCTTTCGTTCCCAAAACATGAAAATCGAATAATTTCGCCAAACATCTGTGAAATGTTCTTATGATTGTGCTTTTTATGGCAGTATATATAAACGGTGTATTTATAAACAATATGAAGTTAAAAGTGTTGTTCTTAAAATTATTTGTACGAGTATATGTGTAATCGCAGTTGTTTGGTTAAGGTTAGGAACTGACACCAACTGTTATTGGTGTCTCAGTTTCAATAAATTAGATAGGTGTGATTTGATCTGCATTAAGTTTGCGAGCGGTTGTTTTCTTCCTCTTGCACATTTATTTTTTTTTCATTTAGAGGGGGAAGGTATGCATTGTTTTAAGTGAATAATAATCACCGGTTTTATGTCTCAATCATTCACATTTATGTGTGCCAATGAGACAACTCCCCATCCAGGTCACAATTTGTAAAAGTAAACCATTAAAGCTATAGGTCTTCAAAACGGAGCCTTGAGTTACACCAAACATCAAGCTATTAAGGTCTCTAAATTGGCGATTGTAATACCATTTAAACAGGAAATCCAACAGTATAATCTAAATGAAAAAACGAGAAAAAACAAACACTTATGAACCACATCAACAATCGACAAGCACTGAACATCAGGTTCCTAGATTAGTACAGGTGCAAACAAATGCAGCGGGTTTAAAAGTTTTAATAGGTACCAGCCTTCATCCTTTCTTAACAATAGTGTAACATCACAACATAGAAAGACACACTATAAAATATCAATAAAATATCAATAGAAATGGTTTAACTCAATCAAAAAGAAAAACAAGTGAACATACACTGAACGAATAAATTTTATCTATGCCACAATGTGAATACAAAATCAATAACATAAGTGGTGAGATGTTAAACAATATCAGAAAGATTTTTTTTTTGGCAATGTTCATTTGACGTGGAACGGTACTTGTATATCCCGTCATTGTGTTATTGTGTTATTGTGTTGTGGTAAATTTTTGTATTCTTGTCTGTCACTTTTCCCAATGTGCTTTGTATATATGCCTTTTTTATTTTCTTTGTTGACATATTTGTTTGTTTTTATAGTAATAAGGAATATACCACAATTTTGACTGCTGTACCCCTGTTTTTTTACATTTTTACCTATTATATCTGTTTGTTTTGTTCACACATCATTGTCAATATAATGGAATGTTATGCGATTGTAATATAAGTAAGAGGTTAAGGTAGCTATATAAATATAGATTCTACCACTGCATCGAGTGTGATACGATATTTATCCACTCGAGACAGTTAAATTTTCAAATTTAAAACGCGAGGCTCGCCGAGCGTTTTAAATATTTAAAATTTAACTGCCGAGAGTGGATAAATATCGTATTACACGAGATTTGGTGGTGGAATCTGTTTCTCTAATGATTTTCAAACAATACGCAGGCAAATTTATTCCTTCTTTTCGAATGATCTGCAAAAAGATGTGTTCTTTCTATGTGACGTCATCAGGCATGGTCGCCTTTTTTCATGCCGTCACAATAGGAAATTCAGAGGAAAGCAAAAAACTCGACGTCATAATCGGATTTTAACCAATGAAGAACTGAGATCAAACGAACCACACGTTGATTAAATTTTTTTTATACAATGGGTGCAGAAAGGAATAAATTGACGAAGAATTAGAGAAACAGGTTTAATTCACCATTATCTGCATAAGAAAATACCTGTACCAAGTTAGGAATATGACAGTTGTTATTCATACATTGGATGTGTTAGAGCTTTTGACTTTTGCCATTTGTTTAGGGACTTTCAATTTAGAATTTCCCTCGGAGGTTTTTTTTATAATATTATTTTACTTCTAACCGAATACATCAATATGTATCCACATGACAATGCCAATATTCACATGTAAGCGAATTTACGGTTGACAATGGCTTACTCATACATTTTATTGAGATAGATACACAATATTTACCAAAATATTCAAAACTACAGAAGTTTATAAATTGATCATCTATTTTTAAAATGCTATTCCATTGAAAGATGTTTTGATTGATGCCTTGCTGTTGAATAACAGAACAAATTTATCCTTCTACTTTATTATATGTCACCAGACGTTCACTGATGAGTTGTGTTGTACTTTCTTTTCTTTAGATTTTCTGTAGATAATCAATCTTTAACTAGCTTATTTATATAGAACAATTATTCTTAAAGAATCGATTGAAATGGTAAATAAAACACAGACCAGTGAAATTTCACATGTAGAAGAAGTAGAGACAACACTGAATGAAGATACAGAGGGGTAAGTTATGTTATATGTTTAAATATCCGGTTTGTCAATCAAAATAGATTAGGGTTACAAATCTAAATGTTTGTAAGGGTTTTCCGTATAACAATTTTTCAACTGATTTGTAAGCTTATTACGTAATAGAAACAATATGTGAGGGAAATTGTTGAATAAAATATATTTTTTTGTTCATTAATAACACACTAGAAACTGGTATTGTGGGTATGCAGCTCATGACAGGATTTGTAGGTGAATGACACACTTTGTACGATTCACTATATTGGTTTATCCTAAATTTGTATTTTACAAATATACAGTGGTTATATCATGTAAGCAAATACCAATGTTTAAGTATTGAGTTTGACCAAAATGGAAATCAAGCCCATGTCATGACGGAAATGCTTCAACGAGACAGTTGCAACTATAGTTCAAACCAAGCCAAATCACTTATTATTTATACGGAGTTGTTTTCAATGTCATATACAACTTTCTTTAAAATCACACATAACTCTTTTTAACATTTCAAAGTAGTTTCTTTCCGGGTGTATCGAATATACATGATGTTCTACACTTCTCATATAGTAATGCTGTCCTGGAAATGTACTTCTATGTTTATGATTTTGGTTTCTATGTATTAATGCCGTTTTCACCGCTTCAACTTTTGTTTTATCTAAATATATAAATTTTATACTACATATGTTTGTTAATTCTATTCTATCTACGTTACACTTGTCCAAGTATTTTGAAGTTGTGATTTTGATTTTTTAATAATATTTCAATCACTAACTCCAACTATTCATATCACTGTATACCCTTTAATTATATGCTTTCCATGCAAAACCTAGATTATAAGGGTATATGATGTCAACAATCATTAAATAACTTTGGAAAATGAACATAATGCAAGATACAATTCATATACATATATTAAAATGATGGTTTGTGCTCTGGTTCAACAAAAAAGGCTATGTCACAAATTTTGGCAAAATAATGCATTTTTTTCTTTTTTGTTCTTTTCATTTTTTTTATGCATTCTTCAAAATATGTGTACATTTACGCGTAAAATTGTCTTAACATGTTTTCATTTTTTCCAAAAACAATCAAACTCTAATTACAAACGGATTAATTTTTCTTTAAAATGATATTTTGTTGATGCCTTTATTTGACGTTTTATGGCTTCATCGGCAATAACTGTTTGTTTATTTCGACGTTTTTTATATATAAAATAAGAAGACGTGGTATCATTGCTAAATGAAGTGAATATGTTTATATGGATATATAACACAACTAAGCACGATACCGTTTACACAATTTAAAGAAAATTCAGGTATCAACAATACATTTTCGTTAGAGCAAAATCTATCATTATGTATTTGTAATTAAAGATTTGATGACACAAGAACACATTCAAAAACGTTTTTTCGGCAGATTTTCTGTGTTTCTGTACAAATGTTCACCTATTTTGAAAGATTCATGGCGTAGTATTTCAGCTTTTATAGCTTTATAAATAATTTGAAAAGATGTGAACAGCTCGTGGAGTCGTTAGCAGGTCAAAAAGTAAAGTGAGCAAACTTTAGAAATTCAAACAAAATATTTGCAAATGAGCGAAGTTCTCAACAATCAAATCCAACTATAGACCATTGATACAGCATGCATTCAAACTTCATTGAAAAAAATGCGAAAAACTTGTTGACTATTTCCTCAAGACGATTAGTAAAAACAAAAAAAAAACACAGGTTTTTACTTCTTAAAAAAAAAAATAGGTTATAGATCCTTATTCTGAAACATATTTATAAAAACATGATTTATTTACATTGAAAAACGAAAATTTCTACTGAATGCAGTGCTGTAAGGATTCGAATCCGTTTCTGAAGATCAGGACAATAACGACCATTTTCATTGTATTGCCAATTTAAAATATAGACTAGGAATGTTACTTTTTAATTTGGATTCGAGGTGAAATATTACCTGAAACACCATCACGTCCCAAACTATTAACTTCCGGTCGCTCGCTATTTTTTTAAAAACAATTAACCCTTAAATAGTAGCAACAACAGCAGCAGCGATAACACATACTCGAGCAGCATCAACAACAGCAAAACCTAACAATTGATCAACGCAGCAGCAAAAACACATCAAAATAGTAAAATGTCCACGATGGATACTGCAGGAACATCACAAATTTAAGCATCAATAGTAGCATCAATACCTACTGGCAAGTAGTAGCAGCAGCATATCCAGCAGCAAAAATGGTACTGTCAATATCATGTCTGTACTGAAATACTCAAAAGTTATTAGAAAATTATACAATGACATTGTGACCAATTAGAAGTTATGATTCCCGCCCATTTTGGATTGCAAGTGGGATGAATTTTCTTGATATATTTTGTTTCGAATTCTCTCATCTGATTCGTTAAGATGAAAATAACAACAATTTCGTATTCGCCAATTAGGCAGCAATCAACTAGAGATCTATGTAGCACATTACTGATAAAGGAAAGTGGTGTCTAACATGAGTGCTATCGACTCCGACCGCACAGTCTAAAAAGTATGAGTATGTGACCAAAAAATTCATACAAACAATTAAAATGAGATGTCTATAACAATGTATAACGATGATAAGAACAATTGCATGATAAATCGCTAACATATTTGAAAGAAAAGTCAATGAATAGAAATATGACTTACCTTGCAGGATGTCAAGATTGTGTACTTCATTATCAAGTCATTAAGTTAACCCTACTATTGTGTATCATATTATGATTTGTGTTTAGTTAGTTGGATTGGTGGATTTCATCTCAAATTATATTTTCAAGCAGTTCATTGCTCTTTATTTCTTTTTAGAACTGGTGACGATGGCGACATTATTCCAAATATATCTGCTTATCCACTGCAAGACAAGATTTTGAAAATAATCTTTTCTATTTTCCTGCTTATCATTGTGTTTGGGAGCTGTTTTGTTGCAAGGATCACTTTGCATATTTTGATTTGGCATATTACTCCACCGATAGAAACATCAGATTCTGTGATAAATACTCTTGGAGGTCTCCTCGTATCTAACTGTTCAAGCTGTAATACCAGTATGAGTAATACGACCACCTGTTCTGTTCATTCTGCAGCAGTTGACGAGACGTGGATTTGGGCTTTATTTCTCGTCATTATTGCACCGCATCTGCTGATGTTTTTCTCTGCATTGTTTAAATTATGCGTCAAATCAAATGCACCGCTGAACATGTCAGTTCTATTCGTGGTAGGTACAATTCATGGATCATTATAGGACGTAGTCACAAACTGAATAAATGTCTCAGTAAACGACTACGTTTAGTTTAAACATTAGTTGTCGCTTGAAAAAGATGACAAATCCGTATAACTATCAGCTTGATAATTTCATATTTATTTTCATAGATTTCGCGGGTTTTATGTAACTCCAGCATTAAATTAATTGCTATCGCGTATGGATAAAACATATTATAAACGTTCAAGTATTTATATAAGATACAAACGTACTTACCTTCCAAAGTGAAAACTAATTCTAGCGTAGTATTCGTATTTTAAAGACTGTAGAGGTTCAAATTGTATAAGAATTATCAGCTGTAACTTGTTATACTTTCATGGTGATTTATTTTTTTACAAGCAAAAATAATGAATTATATGAAAATATAAAATACTAGGACTAGGGATTTCAATTTTTTCCCGCCGAAGATCTTTAGTTGTCTTCGGGATCTCCAAATTCCTCCATCAATAAAATCTGACCCTACGAAATACATGCGATATTGCAAAAGAACACAAAGTACACATTTTACAAAATATTTATACGGTTCAATATTCCATTGACACATATCAGATTACTCAATGCATATATAGTTTGAAAATTTGGGATACTAGGCCTTGCTTTATTCTGTCTATTGTAAAAGGGCACGCGCTATTTGATTAAAATTATATGTATGATATTTCGTTTACTTCTATCATTTTAGGTATTGTTTAGAGAAACAATTCATTCAATTGGAATATCCATACTTGCTTTTCTGGTTCTCCCTGCATTCGATCCGGCTTCCGCTTCTGTTGTTTATTTGACTGTTGCAGTAACTCCACCGCTAATTAATATTATAGATCAACTCGTAAATCAACGAAAGGAAGATGACAATGAAAATAAATCTAAATTGTATATGTGTAGCGAGACTTCGATGTTATCAATTTCCTTTCCGTTAATTGGATTTCTTCTTCAACTCACAGGAATAGTTTTTATAGCTATTTATATAAAAATCGGTTGGTTGATTGGTATGTTTATTATGTCGGTGTTTTTTACGTCCATTGACTATTGGGAGAATTTTGTTGCTAGAGAAGGGAATAGTTCTAAGTTCCGTCGCAGGATGAGATATGAATTGGGTAAACAAAAAACCAAACTTACTTTTATAGTTAGTTTTTGGAAAATAATTGTAACTTGTATTGTCATTATGGCTGTATTTGTAGGCCAAGGTCAGGATTCTTCGTCTGCTTTTAAGTCACTTTTCAACACTGGGATCTCTACTTTGACCACCGCATTTGGAAATCGAAGATTTGGATACAATCCAATCTGTAAAAACTATACTCCATTTATATTAGCTGTTACAAATATATGCTGTAAATACATATGTTACAAATCATCAAGAGCTGTGTGCGTAATAAATTGCCAGCGCTTTGGGTTTAGTATTCCATTAACTATAATACATGTGGCAACGACTGTTACGTTAATAGGCCTGATGTATCGACCTGAAATTTTGACATTTAGTTCATGTGATTTTCTATTCTCTACTTGGTGTATAAAAGGAATTGATCAGTTGATTGGTAACTGTTACGAATTATTTGTCGCATTCATTTTACTTTTTATATCTATACTCTTGATTACCAGGCATATATGGATCGTCGACGGTTTCAAACATGGAGAAAAGTCCAGGTAAATATTTTTGCGATATATTTTTTTTGTTTTGTACAAATATTGTTTTTTTTTTAAATTCTTAATCATTTCTGTAGACATACGCAGATTAAGAATAACATGTTACTGATATATTCTGATTGATTCAAAGACAAGTCGTTTTTTTTTTATATATTTTATTTCACTAACTAAACCGTCAATTGACATGTTATATACATGTTGAATATAACAATCGAATTACTAAACTTTTTACATATTTAAATAGAACCAAGAAGTAAATTTCAAATATTTCAATACTATTTAGTCAGATTTCTACTTTGTCAAACTTGTCTCAAATTACACGTTTTTTTTTGTTTTTTTTTTGTTGAAAATCATGAAACAGTTAGTCATTTCTCATCAGCAGTGTGAAATCACAAATTTTATACACTTTTAATTAAAAATGAGACTTGCACTCCAAATTGAAAATTTGAAAGGAATTGCCACATTGTTTTGTTATAATACAAATATGTTATTATCCAAGTTATTCAAGATTGCACATCCTGAAATGTCATGCCTGTTTTACTTATCATTGCATTTATGTTGGAAGACTATCAAATGAAGGTTTTGCTACAAGTATCACGTAACCTTATCATTGACCAATGAACCATGAAAATGGGGGTCAAGGTCATATGAACCTTACAATACTGACATGTCGACCCACAATTGGTCCATTTACTAAACATTATTGACTTGCTGTTTATCATATCTGTGAAAAAGACCAGATAATAAACACTAAAACTATTCAACAGCTTTCACTGCGTTGTATAGAATTCAAGGGGGGTTTAACAACATTCAACACTATAAAAAAAATGAATTTTAAATCAGTTTATAATTACTGCTGTTTAACAACATTTCCAAAGTAATTGTCAATACCTAAAAGAGAATAATTCAATTACCTTGAGACAGATATCAACACACGTGCACGTAGTTGACGCACACATAACTAACATGCATGATAGATTTAACAACAATACTAACAGCCATACCACTGAAGATTAATTTTTTATCAATAACACATTCAAGAAACAAGGACACACTGCTAGTACCTCTTGTTATCTTTAACTTTTTTTGACAGCTCATGTAAACAATTCATTTAAACGTAATTAGGTTATAGTAGTATCCGTATTGCACACTTCCTTGTTAAGTCTGTTTACTTTGATGGAAATCTCAATCAGGAGCTAATTTATTTAAAATCTAATGCCGAAATCGGAAGCAACATAGAAACACAGGATATATATGCCCATTCATCAGAGAGTTATATACTGTGGATTCATTTATTTTCGTGGGTACCAATTTTCGTGGATTGGGGAAAACTTGGTTTTTCGTGAATATGTAATTTCGTGATTTTGCCATATTCTGCATACAACCTGATAGTAAATTTGTGATTCGTTGAACATTTGAATTCGTGTTTCACCTGTATCCACGAAAACCACGAAAATTGGTATCCAACGAACAATAATGAATCCACAGTATAATGAAATATGATTATGATTATGCAAATCTAATATAAACTCAAAACAAAGGTATAATGTACGTATCATAACCATTAGCAACTGCTGTGATTAAAAGCATGGCTACACCTTTCAAGGACAGCAAACAGAGGATTGTTTGATTCATACTTCCATTTAAACACATCTATAGCTTTGGGATAACTTCAAGAAATTGAATACGAACTCGAATACATATTTGGATGTATCAGATTGGTCGTAACTGTGTAGAACAACATTAAAAGGGTGCAGTTTCAATAAAGGATGAGTCATTTCAATTATGAAGAGGAATTTGACGAGGCTGTCCGATTTCTGCTCTCTACTTTTTAAGAATGCAATTAATTTCTTTAGAATTTAAAGATAAAAAAAGGAAAAACAATACAATACGATAGACAATTTTGACCAAAAGACATTTTTTCTTCACTCTTGCGAAAATGAAAGTCTTTGTCTCAGTATTATTGAGACATCTATAAGTGTAACAGGACTTCAACTAATCAGGAATAACTCATGGGATATGGTTAGCTAAATTACACTAAAATATATATATGTAAATATAAATTCCAACCAGTCAAACATCCTTGGTAATTAATTCGGTTATGATAGAAAAGGAATTCAGATTTAAAACCAGAAAAAGTCATAGATAAACAAATAATGTGAGGGAATAGATCTATCAAATTTAAAGGTAAATGTCGAACATTTTCTTGATTAATATAAAGTGTATGATATTTTATTTATTTTATACACGGCATAACTGATTCATGTAACAGAGAGTATATATCAGAACAGGCAATTACATGTACTTCAAAATTTGAAACTCAAAGTTAAAAAGCAAAAAGAAAATAACTATATTATTTTAATCTCCTTTTTATCACATGTTTATATAACACTACCTTTTGAAACATGTTATGTCCAAATTAGGCATGAACAAAAAAATGATACCCTTTGATTATAGGAAACAAGATTTCGAATGGTGTTTTTAAAAGTAAAATCCAGCTCTTAAGAACAAATCATTATTTCATATTTTCAATACTACTTTCTTTATATTCTTATCCCAAAAAATGTTTTTAATTGGAATAAATTTCAGAAAAAAATTACCGCGCAGTTGCAGGATTCAGAGAAAACATATAAAAACAAGTAACAATAAAATTGAAAAAAATAAAAACCAACTAATATGTTTCTGAAAACATTAAACTTGATATTGGAATGGATTTATTTTTTATTGCAAGTATCTTCATTTAATCAGTTTAATCGGAGCGAGCAATACGTTAACTGGCTGAATATAAATGGTAGTTATTGTTTCCCGTATAATGTTGTCTTAACTGAGGAAGTTTTAATTTTCTAACTTGCCTTTGTTGTCTTCTAAAATATAACATGAGGGGAATCGATTTGTTTGACTTTGTGTGAACTATCCTTAAGATATCAACGAACATGTATGTATAGGTCATCCGACGACTTTCAACAATCAGCTGACTATATCAAAGCCTCAATATGAAAAAATAAGATAACTTCAAAATATTCATATATGATATCCTTACTATCTAAAACGAATGGTAGGCATCAATTATTATGTAAATAAGGTCACATACCAATCAGGGAATTATGTGATATTTTCAGTGAGTATAGCACAATCTCTTTCTTCAGGACCCCTATATGCATTTTCGAATATAATTACAGCTTTTTGCCACCATAAGCTGTTCCTGCGTATCGCTAAACCTGAAGATCATACATGTAAACGACATTTTCTGAAAATAAAATAAAATAGATTAACAGCGGCATTGATTTCATCAACTTATCAAGTATGTTCATTGATTCTACCGTTCAAACCCTAATGCCTCCCTTTTTTGAATAAATAAGAATAATAATAATGATGCATCAGTGACATCATTTAGTTGTTGTCCATTCGTTTGATGTGTTTGTGCTTTTGATTTTGCCATTTGATTAGGGACTTTCCGTTTTGAATTTTCCTCGGAGTTCAGTATTTTTGTGATTTAACTTTTTATCATACGTCAGTTTACAAAAAAAGACTTGAGAATATGAATGATCGAATTTTAGCAATGAACCCTATGGCCATATTATTACGGGGGACCTCAATATCGTTCAAAACCGATAGGTAAGAAACTTGATAAAATGACCAGAATATCGTATTCCATCTAAAATTGATTATAAAGGCAACAGATACCAGAGGGACATTCAAATCATAAGTCTAAAACAAACCGACAGCGCCATAGCTAAAAAGGAAAAAGCCCAACTGATAAACAGACGAAGAGACACACAAACAAACAATAGTACATACAACACAACATAGAAAACTAAAGACTGAGCAACACGAAACACCGTCAAAAAGTGTAGGTGATATCATGTGCTCCGGAAGGATAGGCAGATCCTGATAAAAGACAGTATTATCAGGTCGTAAAAGACGCTCTTTCGTCGTATTGTAAAAATATGTGTAAATGGGAAAAGCATGATAAAGTATTTTCTGTTTCTTTTTAAAAAAAAAGTCTAAATGTTGTGGATATTTGAATATCACATTATTTTTAAATAATTAAGTTTTGTATTTGTACCGGTCGACAAAGCAGCCAACAATGAAGTACATGTAGTTGTATGCCGTAAATACCACACGGAAGTTCTAAAGAATACAATCTAAAATTCTTCTACATTCGTGTCAGTGCACTCCAGAGAGAGTCAACAATTATAGTAAACAATCATGTCATAACCACATCACAGCTTAAGGCCTCTTCTGGACATTTGAAGGTCAACCACTATGTATTTTACACTACTGACAAAACAGTAACATATCGTTTCATTTCGGCCTCTAGTAGTACAAAATATATATGTCAGGACTCTTAACAAGTTCTTTTATTACTATCAACGAATGTATCAATAACTTTTGTGATACAACATATGTAAATAGTGGAATTAACTATTTTAGAAATCTAAATAATTTTTGGATGTTTAAGATAAGTTTCGTTTTTTTAATGGTCCGTTTGATTCTGTTGACAGTTTCTACTTTTCGATTACATACACTACACTTTTAAACAATCTTATCAAATAAAAATTTTCCTATTTGATTTAATGGTCGTTTAGGAAATCTGAAAACTCATTTCAAACCTTCTCTAATGAAATAGGTAAATATGCTGTATATACTTACTTGGAGTGTGATGTGATGATCGATGCTGAGCATGTTATCCTTGATAATACTCATTATCGACAGGTTGTAGGTTTTCCCATGGGCACAAATTTAATAGCAGATTTGTTCTTGTACAATTATGAATCACATTTAAAGTTATCGACAGGTTGTAGGTCTTCCCATGGGCACAAACGTAATAACAGATTTATTCTTGTACTGTTATGGATCACATTTGATGAACAAACCTAGTAAAGATCTGTCAAAATTGCATTTGATTGGTACATTCATCAACACTAACCGTTATCTTGATAATTTTTGTTCTTTAAATAATCATGAATTTTCTTAATATACTGCCTACATTTCCCATTTTGGGTTGGTGGTATTCCTTGGCACCATCTTGCGCTGTTTACATATCCCAAAAGTCGGTACCTGTATATTGGTATTACACAAGATCATGTATTTTATGACTGTTTATGGCGTCTTTGCCTTCAAACTTGTTTAACTTCGCCACATTATGTGCCTGTCCCGAGTCAGGCGAAGGTAATTCAGTGGTTGTGGTTTATCGTTGTATATCATTTTTGTTTTTCAATCATTATTTTGTAACATTAATCAGTATTTTTTTCTCGTTTGAATTGTTTTACAGTTTTCATTTCGTAGGTGACTATGCAGTATGTGTTTTGATAATTGTTAAGGGCTTTATAATTAGCTGATAGTTGATTATGTATTTGTCATTTTGGTCTCTTGTTGTCCCATTGGCAATCATACCATATCTTCTTATCTTTATATTAAACGAGAAAAGTAATGACTTAACAATAAGCAGAAATTACATATGAAAGGCAACAATGCAATTTGTATGCAATCACTAAGAGAAACATAACAAAAGCGTTAGGTTAGATATATGATTAACGTTCAATACTCCAATTACTAAAAATAACCTATGGAATTGTCCATCCTCCTTTTTGCACCAGATTCGTACCCAAAATGTAAGAATCATTATTTGACCACTACCTGATCAATCCATTCATTTATTTGTAAATTTAAATTCGGATAAAACTTAATAATTAGCACTTTCGAGATCTGTATTTCCAGATGATTAACGACTAGTTCTCAGTAATAATCCTGTAGTTATCATAATATTAACACAAACGACACTGGTTAAACGGACATTGAGGGAAAATGATTGTCAGATGTATGGAATTCCGGAAGAAAAAGTAACAGTATTGTTACATGTAATACACACACGTCATTGAATCTGCTTTTGAGTATTTCTGACATGTTTTGGATTAATTCTTTTTTAAATCGGACCCAATGTAGTTTCTCACTGAAAAAAATGTTTACGAAATCACAATATTTATTTCCTGATTCATTATAAATGTCTTGTCACCAAGGGTCTTACCGTCCAAGTTGCAACCTATATAAAATATCATTTATAGTTTCGCTTTCTGTAAATTAAATGCATATTTCGCGTATCCAGATAATGATCGTGAAAGAATAGGAAACGGTGGTCAATCAGTGCCATTAGGTCGTGATTAAAATTCTAAATCTGTGAAATGTCCGTTAAAGTATAGACAGACGAAAATATCAGGCAAAGACATATACAAGTCGAAATGATTCAACGTACTTACAACTGTGCAATAAGACCAAAACTACACTTGTTTTAAAAAACACAGAGGGCGACACATAAACTTATGCAAATCATTAAAGATTCATCATGTTTTGAATCTGTATTGTTCATATTCCAATTAATCATTATATATGAGAAACTAAATATTATTAATCAGATATTAAAGTGATGTCAAAGTGTTAATATCTTAAACATATTGATATTATGCTTTATTTGAAAGAATTTTAGTGATAATCAACCTAAATTGATTGCCTAAGATCATGCCATGCATTTTAAAATAAAAAAATTTCAATTAGTTTTGCACATCTTTGAAGACGGTACACTGACCTACACATGCTCATGGTTGATAGTTGACTCATATGCAATCATTCCACATCTTCTTCTTATTTTTATTATATATATTATTAAAAAAATCATTTCTTTTTACAATTGTTACATGTACTTCAAATGGTTGAAGCGTTCGATATATTTGCAAGATAGATTTTTGGGGTTTGCACTTCACCTTATTTTCTACAAAAACGTTAAAAGGTTTGAAATATTACGTTTCATATTTATATATATATAAATATATATCCTAACTATCATACTGCCTGTCGATACTTTTTTTTCGGTATTGCACAAGTCATTACTTTTTTGACTGTCCATGGCGTTAAAACACTAAATCCTTTGGATGTGTTTTGGTTGATTTTAATCTCTGATGCATGATGTTTTATTATTGATTATTTGGCTTTTAACAAGCTTTCAGTTACTGCGAGTACTCGCAAATCGTATTTTCTTGTTTATTTAGTATCGTACTATGTACTAGAAATTATTTTGTAAAAAGATGTGTCCGTACTTCATATATTAGTTACAACATAATTATTATATTTACCTGTGTAACTTATGTTACTTAACGCCATTTTGTCCAAGGTTATGTAGTTGTATTTCTGATATTGTTTTACATCTTCCGCTTTTTAATTAACATTGTATTTATATAGTGTAATAGATACAATTTTTTCGTTTAGTGTATGTTTATTTTGTTTTTGATATTCTATAGTGTGTCTTTCTGTTTCGTAATATTAAACTGCTTAAGTGTTAGGGTGAGTGTTGGTGCCTGTAAAAACGTTTAAACCTGATGAATTCTATTTTGCACCTGTCCTAAGTCGGGAACCTGTTGTTCAGTGGTTGTCGTTTGTTGATGTGGTTTATAAGTATTTCTCGTTTCTCGTTGTTATAGATAAGACCGCTGGGTGTCCTGTTTGAATAGTTTTACACAAGTCATTTTGGTGCCCATTATAGCTTGCTGTTCGGTGTGAGCAAGGTCTCTGTGTTAAAGACCGTACTTTGGCCTATAGTGGTTTACTTTTTACTAATTGTGACTTGTATAGAGAATTGTCTCATTGTCACTCATATCAAATCTTTTAAAATATATTTATGTATACTGAGATTTCCTCCCTTAGTGTATCATCAGACCAGTAGCAGCATTTCAGTGTTCACAAAATCATCCATAAGTTGGTCATTATTTTAAATTTATTGTTTACATTATTTTAATATTATCGAAATATTAAGGATCTTTGATCCCAAGCAATAGCATATCTTAGATGTTTTTGCAACCCATTCGGAATGCAACTTTATACTTGAATTTTGATCGCCAAGTTGATGTGATCCCTATTTAGAATCGGTAAATGTATAATTAGTTAAATTTCAAACCGGTCGTAGAACAGAAACTGGTTTTTTTTTCGAAATTATGATTCATAATAAATCCTCTTTTTATTTACAACTACTGTTTAATTCGAAGAAATAACTAAAACAATATTGTTGTGAAATTCCTAGCACGTAGATATGAAAATCAGAATTTGTTCATTTGTAAAGGAATTAGGTTTTTATCACATCCCTCATCATCCCGTGTTATCAAGTATCTAAAATTTTCCTTATCTAAAAACGATATTTCATCTTTTTTATTTAACCAAACATGCCAAAAGAAAAAAGATTTTTTTATTTCAGATCTAGTTACCTTCAAAGAATTTGAGAAACATTTATAACTTTGATATTAAACTATTAAAAGACATCGTTCCGTGAAAGTCATATAGTCATTCATGTATATAATGAAAACAAAATATGTGTGTTAACATTGATTATGCCGTTGAAACGTTGAAGAGCAATGTTCCTTTAGTAGAAATGGCAAAACGGAAATATTCAAACTCTGATTTTCTAAGACATTGATCATTATATTTAGCTATTTTGAAAGACAGTTTAATGGGTTTTTTTTTCGAAATGTGTCCTTATAATTCAATAAATTAGATTAATTATTTACCTTGTATGTTTCGTCTCGATAAGATTTCCGTCACGATCCCATACGATTTTATTGCAATACTTGAACACTGTGATCTATTCCTTCAAGATCAAGATAACCGTGCTATAAACTGTAGAAATAACAAAAAAGGTTTTTCTATTCCTAGTTAAGATTACTTCAGTCTTATTTTGCACCTGGTATCTTTTGTGAGTTTTGTCTTTAAAATTTTATTCAGTTTATTAAAAACATTTTGGCATTACATTACATATTGTGAACATTTTTGGCGTAAGGTATATGTTCTATTGTTTGGAGAACTTAGCTTTCAAAAGTACATAGCAAATGCATTTGCACATTAAACTTTGGAAGGTTCATGTCTGTCAGAGGTAAAAGTACAAATGCAAGATCTACCGGTATATACAAAATAGATGATATTATTCGTTTATATTAACTTTACTTACAGGATGTTTGTATCAACATTTTACTGCGGACTATTTATTGACCTGTCGCTGTTGCTGAATCGGAAGAGATTTAACAAGGTATTTATTTAAAACACTGACCATCTCTTCAAAATTTATTATTTAATAAACGTGATCACTAGAAATTTAAGATTCTCTTTCTTTGTCTTTTATTTGCGAATTCTATTTTCTTTGTAACATTGCCGAAATCAGTATCTGTTTTGATATTTATCTAATTTGACCAAACTTATGTTTTTCTCAGGAGAACATCTATTGCTTATATCGTCGTTTTCTATTTTAATCTAGAACATTGAAACCAAAACCACACTAGTGAAAGACGGCGAAGGGAAAAACAAACGAAAGATGTTATACGCTTGTACAACGATGTGGCACGAAACATCTTCCGAAATGACAAAGCATTTAAAGTCTTTATTTTTGTAAGTTATAATTCATATGATTCTTGTACTTTATCTAATAGGTTGAGCTTATATGTAACGTTTGCGCGGTAAAACATGTTTATTGGTTATAGTTATCTAAATTCGAGGAGAAATTCAAAATATCCTTAAATGAAACAATTTTGTGGTTGAACAGTATTCTTGAGTTCATTCTCCTAATTTGATTCCTTAGTCGCGTTATAGCCTGTGCGCTCAGGCGTCTGCTAACACATATCAATCAATCATGTATTTATATCACTTGTAGGCTAGATGCAAACCAATTTAAGGCTGGACTGCTTTCTGATAACAAGAATAATGCCGAGGAAAGTTATGATCTTGAAGGTACCTTACTTATTATGATATATGATAATACCCAACAAACAATATATCCATACTACAAAACCATATAGGAAGAGTGAATCTCTAACATTAGTATATGTAACCATTCCTTGGTCACATAAAAATACCTAAAGGCCAAATAAGCATTACGTCATTACAGCATTATCATCAGACAAAAACAGTGTTACATGGTGTTTCTGAAAAAAACTTATTTAATTTATACAACAATTTAGTCTTAGATACATGATTTTTTATAACAGTTGTTATTGGCTTCGAATAAGCTTTCCAGTAATTCAATACTCGAGTGCTCTCTAAACTGAACTTTGCGTCTTTATTGAGGTTAATGTTTTTGTTAGTCGTAATTTTACTTTTTGTTTAAATGTGATGAGTTAATTTCTTTTCAACTGATTTTGTATTGTTTGTTTGACTTATGTTGGGTTGTTACACTACTGTTGCAGGAAAGTAGGTGAGTTTTGTGCCCTCTTTATGTTAAATCACGCAGCATTATTTGTGTATCTATCCTTAGTCGCTTAAATATAGTTGGTCTCTTGTGGATAGTTATCTCATTGTCTTCTTCTTATTTTGTATGTAAACAAATTGACACCCATGCCATGTATCTCCTGAATTTTTCTTTTTTTGTCAGCTTGCATTATCTCCACTTTCATATTTCATATTTATTTTTTTTCTTCTTATAAATGTAAACAAAAAGAGTCTGTTTTGATCCAATGTTATTTCAGTCTAGAGTATTTCTCGGTGTCTCTTTTTCGTTTTAGTTTTGTCTCTTTCCATTGTTTGTTTGTATCGTCCCTTTTTTTCATATCATGGGTTAAAACATTATGAAATGTTTTACAAGCTAATTTGTAAATATTCAACTTTGTTGCGTATAAAACTGATCAGCGATTTCGCCATTCCCGTGTTTTTCTGAAATTATCAAATGCATCAACTTTTTTTTTATTCTCCCAACTTTACAGCATTGTTGTGCACTGCATTTGCGTATTTCTGTATTTAAACAAATGTCTGATTTTTCCCCTCATTTTCCTAATTGTTCCACATAATTTTTTACTGCGTGGACTACTGTAATACTCTATTCTAACACATTGGTGCGACACATTTTGAAATGTTCTCCAGCAATTCATAATTTTGGAACATGTTCTGTACCCCTATTTGGAGACATTTTTACCTTTTATGACTAATTGATTTGTTCACACATTGTTTTTATTATAATGGAGTTTTATGAGTTTGTAATACAAATGAAATATTTAGCTAGCTATAAACCAGGTTTAATCCACCATTTTCTACATAATGAAATGCCTGTCCAAAGTCGGCTTAATGACTGTTGTTTTCCATTCGTTTTTATGATTTTGAGCTTTTGATTTTGCTTTTTGTTAAGGGACTTTCCGATTTCAATTTTCCTTGGAGTTTGGTATTTTCATTATTTTAGTTTTTTAAAATATACATGGAAGGTGTATACTATTTTCAAATGATTTTGATATAATTATCAAACATTTTTTTAGCATTTGTTATAGGAGTATATCTTGTATTCCGAATAAACAGACCTGTAAACTTCAATTATTATTATTGTTTGAGTATGTGCATTTATTGCTTACTGTATTATTTTTGAAAGAATAATAAAACAAATGCATCTGCTTCAGTTTTTATAGTTATACGGACCAGAACAGGAATAGATTTCATTTTATATAATAAAAAAAGGAAATTGGGTATGATTGTGATTGTCAAACTAACGATCAAATGAAGTGGAGATGTAAGCATTCATAGGTCACTGCGCGGCCTTCAACAGTGAGAAAAACATATAGCATAGACAGCTATAAACGATTCCGGCATGCAAAACGCGAAACAATACAAAAGGCAAAAAATGACTACCTTAATCATGTTATTTATAACAAAATGATTTACGAAAAAATAACTATTGATAATATTCCAAAATTATGTTAAATTCACAAAGTTTCTCATGTTTATGACGTCACAAGTACATCAATTTAATGACAAAACACATGGTTAACTAACATCATACTTATTGCATTTTAAAAATTCGGACTTACGCTTTACTTTTGAAATGAGGTTTCTTGCAAATATATTCTTTTTAAATGGATTTTTTTTATATATTTTTTAGTAAATTCATAACATGGGGCGATGATGCTTATTTTCAACATTTATATGTCCCAAAATGAGATTAAATTTATACTTAACCTTTGTTCTGCCCCTCTCTCTACTTTGAATCTTCATAAGATATCAATTTGACTATTGTTGTTGTACACCTATTTGTGACATTATGTTCACGCATCGTTGTCAATATAATGGAATGTGATGCGACTGTCGTACAAGTGACAGGTTAAGTGCTATAAAACCAGGTTCAATCCACCATTTTCTACATTTGCAAATGCCTGTACTAAGTCAGGAATATGACAGTTGTTGTTCATTCGTTTGATGTGTTTTATCATTTGATTTTGCCATTTGATTAGGAACTTTCCGTTTTGAATTTTCCTCGGAGTTCAGTATTTTTGTAATTTTACTTTTAACTGTATTTATACTGGTTAAATTCCAAAGTTGTGTTTCTATACTAGAAAGCAGTTTGTATACACAATCAAATATCTATGAATAACAATTTTATCCATAAAAGATGCGTGGTTTGTGAAACAGCTGAATTTATAAAGTGCAAGATCGAAACATTATGAGGTAGTGAACAAACTTTGTCAACCCTACAACCTATTCTTTCTAAAAATGTGTTTTTTTATTGCCGACCTACCAATGACAAATATTTATTGTGTACCAATCAGCAGCACTTATTCTAAAATAAAAATCCTCGAAACTACATGTAGTTGTTAATAATCATGACACCTAAGTGTCAATAATACGATTTTGTATTTATGATTTAAGCTCGCAAATAACACATTTCTATACTTTCAACTACATGTATTATCTACATTTGGTTTGTCACTAACATTTGCCGCTATAATCAATAATCTGCATAAACAATAAAAATATAGTTTGCATCAAAAATGCATACAGAAGGAAGACATCATAACAATTTTAAAAATAAATCTGTGTTTATTTATAACGCTTGAAAGTTCCCTAGGATTCGATTAATCTAGCATCTTTGTAACAAAAATAGTTTAATATAGATTTTGTTTTAAATTAAAATAAACATGCACAAAAACTTTGCGTACTCACGCAAAAATATACACATGGCGTTTACTTGTCTTTTCTTAATATGATTGGTCCGTATGTAGCTGTAAAATACTGTTTTCTGTGTGATACATCTTGATTTCCCCCTTTGTTTTATCTTTCTTGTTTTAAACTGAATATAGGTATGTTTGTTTATATTGTTTTTATATAAACCAGCTCATGTTTTCATTGAGGATGCCTTTGATCCTTTGGATGGAGACGAAAAATATCCAAACGTAAACAGCTATGTTAAAAATTTCATCGCCTGCATTTACACGGCTGGAAGGTACTATATTTTACCTAATTTACTAAAACCATTATGTCATGCATGAAAAAAATATTGAAATGAATAGAAACATTTATAATAACTAGACAATACATTAAATAACGGAACAAATACGACAATTTAATTTGAATATATCTCAATTGTAAGTGTCGGTCTGATCGGTACACATACAAAGACTACCAGTATATGAACAATGCGTGACTAAAAGACAAGAGCAAAAAGTCAAAAGACTGAGAGACTAAAGGACGAAGGCTTAATGATGCAAGATACGTGAGCAAAAATCATAAAAAGAAAAAGCATATAGTTTTGGGTTTCATTTTACTGTTATTCACAAAATGTCAATTTGATTTTGTTTTTCTGGGTAGTGAAGGAGTAGTATTTCCTTTTGAATAATATTTGATAAATCACACGTGTGGAAATAATAAAGAATTTAAAAATGATCAAAAAAGTAATAAATTGACTGCCTGAATCGTGAACAGAAAAATACCATTGTATGTTCATCTATTGTAAATATCTCCATCCAACAATCATATAGAAATAATCATTGTCCAAACTGTTTGCATATGTAATTAAAAGAGAGTTATATATGTTAATGAATTAAACTGGAGGGAAAAAATAAAGTTATCTCCAGAAAAAGGCAATTTTGATAAACGAAATTTATTGTCGCGGTTGTGTTTTGGTTTTGATATTGGTTATGCCTCACCATTATACAATTTCTTGATTATGACGTTAAAGAGGGAACGTTTATCTCAGCTAAAATTAGATTTTCTGTTTACATGTATGTTCCTTTCATTAATAGTACCTCTAATTATTTACGTATTTATATATCCATGACATTCAGATGCTTAGGTCTTAAACTTCCGATGAAATTAAATAAAAAAGACGCACTTTAGACACACAAAATGTATAAACAAATATTTGCATTAACTAGCAATGATTCAATACCGCTGCTGGATGATTGTTAATCTCCGATGTTGTCATCATCTTTGTAGTCAGTAATTGCATGATTTAAAATCAACCATTCTGAAATTCCCAGTTGATGAATTAAGAAAATATTAACAAAATAATGTTCCACCTCTCAGTCATATTTGACCCTATATGAATTTGGCTGTTCCTTTTTAGGTACCTTTTGTTCGTATGCGTCTTACGTTTCTATGTTTTATACATCCCTTTCAAATGGTTTGTATGGGAGTTTTTGATCCATAAAAATACTGTTCACTGACGGGGATACCAAGTATTACGTGCATTTTATACCCAATATCTATAAGCTATGCATTTCGATTGTGATTTCATTAATTTTTTTTTTGGTGGGATTCGTGTTGTTTATTCTTTAGTTTTCTGTGTTGTGATTTGTGAACTATTGTTTGTCTGTCCGTCTGTCTGGTTTTTCTTTTTTAGCCTTGAAAAATACAGTACATTCATATAATACAAAAATGTAAGTCTTTAGTATGCAATGTTCACATGTCTTTGTATTTTTAATCAGATTTATAGAAAGGCAGCCAGTTTGATTTAAAGAAGCAAAAAGCAAATTTTAGTTCCAATATGCCATTATTCTTTCAGAGAACAATCTTTTATCTTTTTGTTTACTTAATTTTCAGCTTTATTCATGGTAGGAATATTACGTTGACTGATGGTTATATGCATAGAACTCCCTATGGCGCACAAATTTGTTGGATTTTACCGGGCGGAAATAAACTAATTGCTCACCTAAAGGATAAAACAAAAATTCGTTGGAAGAAACGATGGAATCAGGTATAAGAAATCAAAACCTTATGAAACGGTGAATAACTTTAATTTCTATCTATTTCGTCTTGTTTATATTTTAAAAATGTTTTTACCTTATGTGTATTCCGTCGACGGCTGTAACCGAATCTAATAAAATGAGACAATAACAAATGAAGGTTGATGCCTATATGCTGAACACAGGAATTAGACAACAAGACAGCTATTGAAAAGAAAAGCAGATGTGTTAAAATTGCTAGTGAGCCAACTCCCCATTAGAGACTAAAAACAGCCTTCATCAATGGGTAGACCAAACTTTAAAAGAGCCCAAACATTAAAACAATATAAACGGGAACACTTATAGTATGGTTTATTAATGTACAAAACAATACACATACAGTTGTGTAAATGTACAATATATGAACAAACTCTGTGATCCCGTCTTACTCAACAGATCGATTCAAAGCACAAAAGCAATTAAAAAACACTTAGCACACAAAGTAGAGATCTGAGAGTACTCACAAATAATAAAAGATAATTGAAAGTCAATAACAACTAATAAAAAGCATCTATCTAGGACTGAAACACAAAACATTACACATCAAATGGATTAATTTTGGGGACATCATAAATAGATATAGACAAACATGAGTTCAGTACAATGTCAAAACGATGTCAACGACAGAATGTAGACACGTTCATGGTTATCTGTATAACAGTACTATCTAAAAAAAAAGGCGAAAAATACCAAAGTGACATTCATTCAAACGCAAAAATCGAAAACAAATTGACAACATCATGGCTCAAAATGAAAAAGACATTCGGAAAAAGTACAGTACACGTACGGTGATCTCATGAGCTCTGGAAGGGTAAGCAGATCTTTCGTGTAGCTTGCGTTTGTACACATCTTGTAAAAAATCTAATTCGGTATGTCACATTCGGAGAAGAGGGGACGGGATGACGGTTATGACATTTGGAATATATTCGTTGTCAAATGTGAAACGGATTCTCCTTAACAGTTCACCGTAAAATTTACAAAGGGAAGATTACTCGTGAGCAGCATCCGTCTATCATCATAGGAATTACAAGTAATATTTCAATATTCATTGACAACAAAATCAATACTTGTTCCAATATAAACACTATTCAAAGCTTTCAACACAGTGCTAAACTGTAACAGTCTAGAAAAGTTTATTTGAAGGATCAATAAATTTAAACGAATCGTATCCAAATTTATGGACTATATAATCATTAAATTAAACATCACCATTAAAAGTAGGATATGATATATGTATCCCGTTTGTTAGCAAAATCTTTGTATCAATGAAATAATTAAGTTGTGGTTTTACATATCTTTGGTAACGAAATCCTAAACAAAAACATTTACCAGTGATAGAACGTTTATGTTCACAGACATCCAAAACGTTTCACAAGACACGGACATGCCGAACGAGCTGGTAGATGTTCAGCTTGTATGAGTGGACCAAAGGAACCTTTCAGTCCAAAAAAGTAAAATTAGCTACATTTGTAACATAATGTAGTTTTATCGCATAACCCATTCAATATGATTATGTAAATGCTAAAACGAAAATAAGAGAACTAATCTTTACCATAGTAACATCTTAAACAATAGAATCCATTATAACTTATGTATGTTGTATTCTATCAACAGGTTATGTACATGTATTATATTTTAAAATGGTGTATTCATGAAAATCACGGTGAGTTAGGGAAGAAAGCTGCATTGGAAAATACATATATCTTAACGCTTGATGGTGACGTTGATTTCAAACCCGAAGATGTACGTAATTTAATTAGACGTATGAGCAAGTCTAAATTAATTGGAGCAGCATGTGGAAGGATTCATCCTAAAGGAACAGGTTTATTTTAACGCACAAAATAGAAGAGATTTTTTTTTTTTCATAAGCATAAACATCTAGAGTGAACTGGGTGTGAACACATCCTCATAATAGTTGTTAAATTGACTGCGTGTTTGTATAGATACAAAACGCGGCATCGTTAAGGTTAAGGTTGACAACACTATCTTGCTCAGCAAAACGAAACCTTACAACACCTATTTAGGGGTTATAAGTTGACTGTATATGTAAACTGGTTTTGTCTTCACTTATATGTGGTAATACACGAAAGGAGATATGATATATAAGCTTTTAAAAATTTGGTAAATGATTGGGTACGGGATTTTCTCGCTGTGTTGACCCATTGGTAGCCTTCGGCTGTTTTCTGCTCTTTGGTTGGGTTGTTGTCTCTTTAACACATTCCTCTTTTCCATTCTCAATTTTTTTGTCGATATTTCATGCATTTAATGGTGACTTAAGTGCAGAAGAAATGTCACTTGTTATGTCAAAGAGATGTTATAAACATTTGAAAATTTTAAGTTGATTTGAAGAAAATGATTGTAGCAAAAGTGGTAACCAAAAAAATACCAAAAGATAAACCAATTTAATTTTTTTTTTTTTTTTTTATGCATTGTTTTTACATTGGAATAAAATTGAAGATGGGTATTATTGTCAATGAGACAACTTTCCAAAAAAGTTAAAATGTATTGTATGTAAGCAATTTGAGGCAACAATAAGCTCTTCAACAATGAGAAAAAAACTCATACAGTATATGTAAATATAAAAGGATCCATTTGAAATAATATGAACCTTAGAAATCGTAATCTCATTATCATTGTGTTTCTTCAGACAGTTTATTTTTTTAAACTTTAATCAATTTCTACCATGTAAACCGTTCTTTAAATAAATATAAAGAAGATGTGGTATGAGTTCAAATGAGACAAATCTCCATCCAAGTCACAATTTGTAAAAGTAAACCATTATAGGTCAAAGTACGGTCTTGAACACGGAGAATTGGCTCACACTGAACAGCAAGCTATAACGGGCCCCAAAATGACCTGTGTAAAACTATTCAAACGAAAAAAACAACGGTCTAATCTATATAAAAACGAAAAACGAGAAATACTTGTGAACCACATCTTCAAACGACAACTACTGAACATTAGATTCCTGACTTCCTGAGCCTTCTTATCCGATTGAAACATTTTTCAACCATTTGAGTATTATTTCGTAACTTTGATAAAATTGATGTCACTCCGCCAGATGCGTAATGCGACATTTATGTCTTTTATATGATGTTTGAGGCCAATCTAAAATTCATAAATTGAAAATATACCTACCAACTAAAAACGAAAATAAATTCTGCGCATTGTCTGTGAAAACAAACTCATCAAAGATACCTGGTTTATAATGTTGTACGCAATACGCACGCTTCGTCCACGAAAGACCCATCACTTACGCTAGAATTAAACAAAGTTCCAGACCAAATGAAGTACGAAGTTGTTAGACATTAACCATCGTTTTACACTCAAATAAGTGATTGCAAGTATACAATTTAAAAGCATGTTTTCATTTAATGTACTGACTTTTTAGATATTTGGAGAAAACATTTTAATGTAAATAATATGTTTGATTGTGGTAACATTATTCCAGTTCAAACAGTTGTTTCACTTTTTAAAAAAAATGGAGTATGTTCCATAATTTAGTTTTAACTGATTTCAATTTCTTTCACATCAATGATTCTTATTGGTAAATGAATAATTGTGCTAAACCGAAAGTTAAAGTACACTTGTATATTGAGAGATCTGTTGTCTGATTTTCTCTTTTTTTAAAATGTAAAATAGCTTTCGCCGACCGAAATATATGGATATTTGCATTAATTTGACGTAAAACAAACATCAATCAGTCAATCAAAGAAATGCTAGAATCCGTTATTTTAATTAAATTGTTGGTATCATTTTATTTTAATAACGTTGCTTTTATTCGCTAGCATTTTCGACCATGAAACCTTTACTGTATATCTTTTCAGGGCCAATGGTATGGTATCAGAAGTTTGAATATGCAATTGGTCATTGGTTGCAAAAATCAACAGAACATACATTTGGTTGCGTCTTAACCATGTTAAGCAATCAAGGTTGCTTCAGTCTATTTCGGGGTTCCGCTCTAATGCATCCAGAGGTTTTAAAAAAGTACACAACATTTGCAAACACAGCTCATCATAGTATTCAATATGATTTAGGTAGTGTGACATTTTAAGCCCTTGTAAATATTAATCCTTATGATATTGAAACGCTAACAATTTTAAGACAATTGCTCTTGAAAATAACGAAATACAGAATGAGAAAAAAGTGTATGATGCATTAGGTCAAGTAAGTATTTGATATGAATATTTCAAAACACAATGATATCTGTTAAAACCAAAACATTTCTATCTTAAGCAGGATAAGTATTTTAGTGATAGTTGTTATCGTCACTGAATGAATACCGGACAGATTTGTAATTGGAGATAAATATGCATGTAGTTCATCCTTTATTGGACAAAAGTAGAACAATGGAAGTATTAACTAAATATGAACGAATGTCTTCGAAATTATACTGCACAAACATTGAAATTTTATTTATTGTTTCAAACACTGACAAAATTTAAAAACACATAAGTCAGCATTCTATGATGTCCTGACCATGCGCCGACAATAACCCATCTATAACAAGTTTAAAGATCTTTCTTTTGCACACCATACTTCAGTTTAAAACATGAGCTCTTAAGGGTTTAACAACAATAAACCATTTTAAATTGGGTGAATTTTCCCTGTCACTTGCTTACAGTTGCTTATCTACAGACAGTGGTTAAAACATGTTATACTGAATGAACAATCAAAGCTTCCTTAGTCCATTAAATTCATAATTCAAAAGAAGAACAAAAGGACAAATACAAACACACAATACCTCACATAAAACAAGATCAAGAACCGCAAGGCACACCAAAAACACTAAACAGTCTTTGAGTTATTTATGGATAGAAAATATCTTGTGATCAGTTGCTTCCGTTGAAATATAAAAAAAAAACGAGATCGGGATTATGAGAAAAAATATGATCATCATCCGACACACATATTCTATTTCACGGTTTAACAAATCGTGATATTGTCAATAAACATTTGATGATTCCAACTGTCCATTAGAACTGGTTGTACAATAGTTTTGTTTTAAACAGCACGTTTGCAAAAAGAAACATTGCCATCATTTCAGATATTCATATTTTAGATGCAAGTGCACATTGACATTGTCTATATTTTTATTAAGTTTGACGTACGTTAAATGCTTGAACTTGGTCACTTTAAATTATATTACTTGCAGTGAAGTATTTTATACGAGAATATATGATACAGCAATGTTATTTTTGGAGTTTTCAACCAACAGCTTTGTTATTTTTTGTGAGCATCATGTAGAAGCCACCTTGTTTGAATAAGTATGTACAGGTTTTCCATTTCTTTGTTTAAACAATCATATTTGCATAGGAACTATACATTTTTATTTTATTCTAATTACCGACATATGGTTAAATTAAACCGAAAGAAAGTTTTGTGAATGCATATAATTGAGTTCATCCCTCTACATTGTACCTAATTAGTCAATCTCAAATGTGTCACGTTAGTTGTTGTGTTGCTGGTTTTTTGTTTCGTTTTTTAAGGAACGACTGCTGATTGACGTGGAAGGTTTATAATGCAACTTCTGTTATCAATCAAACATGTTGACCTAGTCTAACCACTAAGGTTGTCTACTCGTGCTGAAGTACATTAATTGTTCATTTTTCATTGTTTAAAATTCAAATTTGAATAATGAAATAGTTCATTATTCACTGTTCAGTGTTATGTGATGAATAATGAATAATAAAATAGTTTATATTTCAGTATTCAAGTTCACAAGTGAATAATGAAATAACAAATATATTTTTGACTCTGACACTAGTATATTTTTGTTTTGTTTCAGAGAATAAACTAGTGGGTTTCCCTAACTATTTTTAACAGAAATTCCTTGGTTTAATGTATGGATGACCTGAATACCAAAATATATATAAAAATTATTTTACATCGTCTTTTTTTTTAATTTTCACTGAACCTTTGCTATTTTTAACCTCATGGTTATAGATATAACTTGTCGATTGGACCGTAATGACCATAAGGGGTTACGGAGGACCTAAATGAAAATTAGGAAATAGCCAATTTTTAATAGTGTAATGGATATTTTGAATAATGGAATGGACTGCTGCGACCCCTCAGCGCTAATTACAGATATATCTTATACCTCATTCAAAAAGTCATCAATAGAGGAACAAAATGTAGATAGTAAATATGTTCCGCAACGACTATTAGAGGAGGAACGGAGAACCTAAATGTCGAAATATGCGTGAACATTAAGAAAAAGCTTATGTGGAATAATGGAATGGACTGCTGCGACCCGCCAGCCCCTAATTACAGAAAGATTATACACATTATGAAAGCTTATTTATAGAGGAACAAAATGGATTTAAACAATATGTGCCGCAATGACCATAAGAGGGGTTACGTAATGAAAAATATTCACTGTATACCTCTTGTTCCTCTATTGATAAGCTTTCGAATGAGGTATAAGATATAGCTGTAATTAGGGACTGAAGGGTCGCAGCAGTCCATTCCATTTTCAAAATATCCATTCCATTATTCAAAATTTGCTATTTCTTAATTTTCACATTTCGGTCCTCCGTAACCCCTCTAATGGTCATTGCGGCACATGATGTTTATAACCATTTTGTTCCTCTATCAATAAGCGTTCAAATGGTGTACATAGTTTTCTGTAATTAAAGACAAGCGGGTCGAAACAGTCTATTCAATAATTCAAAATAAGCTATATCTTAATGCTCACGCGTATTTCGACATTTATGTCCTCCGTTACTCCTCTAATATACGTTACGGAAAATATTAACTATTTACCTTTTGTTCCTCTATTGATAAGCTTTCGAATGAGGTATAAGATATAGCTGTAATTAGGGACGGAAGGGTCGCAGAAGTCCATTCCATTATTCCAAATATCCATTTCATTATTCAAAATTTGCTATTTCTTAATTTTCACGCGTATTTTGGCATTTAGGTCCTCCGTAACCCCTCTAATGGTCATTGCGGCACATTTTATTTATAGCCATTTTGTCCCTCTATCAATAAGCTTTCAAATGCTCAAACAGTTTTTTGTAATTAAAGGCAGTCAGGTCGGAGCAGTCTATTCCATTATTCAAAATCAGCTATTTCTTAATGTTCACGCGTATTTCGACATTTATGTCCTCCGTTACTTCTCTAATATACGTTGGGGAACATATTTACTATATTGATAAGCTGTCGAAAATGGTGTTAGGTATATCTGTAATTAGGGGCTGAAAGCTCGCAGCAGTCCATTCCATTATTCAAAATTGGCTATATCTTCATTTTCACGCGTATTTTGGCATTTACGTTCTCCGTAACCCCTTTAATGGTCATTGCTGCACAATTGAAGGTTATATCTATATTCAGGGGATGAAGAATAGAAAGTTCCAGTGAAAATTAAAAAAAGACAATGTAAAGGATTTTTATATATATGTTTTGGTATTTAGGTTATCCATACATTAAACCAAGGAATTTCTGTTAAAAATAGTTAGGAAAACCCACTAGTTTATCCTCCGAAACTTAAAAATTGATAAAGATAAAAATTTCAAAGAGTGTTTTGATTTTTTTTTTCCTTATATTGATTTGAAAATTTGTCAAGATTTCAGAAAAACGGGATATAGTGTCAAGTGTCATATTTTTTTTTTTTATTTCATTATTCACTATTCAAAATGAATACTGAAATATAAACTATTTCAGTATTCATTATTCATCTCTTAATATTCTGTAGTTAGACTTTTTTGTTCACATTTAATGTCGTTGATATATTGCCTTAGCAGTATTTGTATATATTTATAGAAATATTTTGGTACAATGTACTTCAGTTGTCAATTTCCTTTCAATTTTTTTATTGAAACCCCACTTTTGAGTCTTATCTTGTCGAAGCATGCGTCTGGCAAAATTTTGGTTTCATGATATACATGTGTAAGACCTATTCAAACCCAACTGTTTATCTTGAGCAGTATTTGTTTAACCCATCCAGTTACTATGATTATTTGATTGATATATGTTTACTATACGTTCAATGGTAAATATTGAATGCATGTTAATAGACCAAAACTAACTAACAATCAATACAATAGGAAGGTGCCGTGAAAAAGGTCGGTTGTGATGAAGGTTGGGATATTTAGAATGAAACTATAAAATAATTTTTAACTAAGTATAAGATTGAGACGACAAAATTGAACCCTTGCAACGGAACTTCCATTGACTCCTTCAAAAGTAGTTTCACCCGAGGAATCGGATTTGACGTCAGAAATCTAAAAAAAAGATGTTTCGAATACATACATTCAAACCAAACAAATTGATTGCACACTTTGGTGAGTGTTTGTACTGGTTTTGGAAAGAATATCAAGTGACCATATTTTTATACCACAGTCACACGTAGAGTACCAGTCACTATAAAGAATTGTAATACAAATAAATAGACACACAAAAATTAGCAGAAAAGATACAGTAACAGTTTTTGCTTAAAAAAATGCTGAAAAAAAAACATTTCACAGGAGTCAAAAGGAAAGGCGACCAATTTGTAAAAACTATTGTTCAGAAATAGTCAACATAACAATGACATCATAATTGTCTATTTTAATGCTTTGTCTGTGGTCGTCATGTGCCACAAAAATAACATAGAAACAAATATCATGATCAAATATCCTAATTAACTCGAACAAGTCTTGGGATTAATGTAAATGATCTGATTGTACAGAAATGTAAAATCAATAATATGTTCAAATTTGTAAGAATTTAATGAATAACAAATATCCTGACAAGTTCCGTTTCAAATGATTAATTATGTAGAAACTGCACGGACATATCGTGGTGGTTGTCAAAAGAGGGCATTCAGCATGTTTAGGACCAGATAAACTTAGGTTCAGAAAAGATATATGTATGATAATGATAGTATTTGATTTTGATTCTATTGATCCCCCATTGCTAAGAATGCATCAAAGCGAAAACTGGAAAAACCTTTAAAGACTTCAGCACTATTGAAACTTTGTGCTACCTGTCATATGTTTAAAATGAGATTAATTACCTGTATGTTTCACTATCTGATCTCCTTGACATTTATAGAAATATGATTGGATACAAGAAACTGCATGAGACCGTGTATGTTTCATATGGGCTAGTAGGCGTGGTTTATTTTAATATACGGTTAGTAGTGGTGTTACGTCCCTTTGTGACAACAACACGGTGTTGAGGGAAAATCTGAAAGGTTTCAACAAACGAGGAAATTGATAATGAGTGATTGAAATAAATTCATATAACACATTACAAACTAACACATTGTTATTGTGAACATTTGTTTCTGTATAGAACAAAAGACTTGATCCATATGATATACTACTAGTATAAATACACAATGCAAAGATAGTCAATTAGATAAATGTGTTACACAGTGTGCTAGTGACCTTATACGGTATATATGGAATTAACTGACCCAATATATATCATATTAGGTCACTAGCGCACTTTGTTACTATTACTATTCTGATTTATTTTAGACTATTGAAATGCAGATATAACACAATGAAATCTATATTAAAATGAAAACAATACCGAACTCCGAGAAAAATTTAAAACGGAAAGTCCTTAATCAAATGACGAAATCAAAAACTCAAACACATCAAACGAATGGATAACAACATGAACAACTGTCATATTCCTGACTTGGTACTTAGAGAACTCCATATCATAAAATTGTTTATGGCACAACATATCACATGAACGAACACTTTAAACTTTTCACACGAGCCAAACCATGAGTTGTTCTAAATTGCAACGTTATTGTTATGACTATTAAATGGTTTTCATTCGCTTTGTTTGAGCTATTGTTTTGACATTTAATAAAGAACTTTACGTCTTTAAATATCCTTAGAGTTTGAAATTTTTTGTAATTTAATTTTTGCTTGAGTATGATTGCGTCTTGGGTTAACAAAACGAGCGGTGGGCACCAAAGTATATCTGTAGAATGTTGAGCATAAACATATCTCCTAATTCAAAAATTCTATTTAGAACTACATTTCATGCAATTACTTGTGTTATTTATTTATTTACTATTTTGTTTAAGTTTAGCCATAAGATACTCCTTGGTCTTATTTAACTAAGTTGTATAAATATCTTGTAGATGAAAACAGATGGTTATGTACTTTGCTAGTAAAACAAGGATGGCAAATAGAGTATTGTGATGATTCACATGCATATACATATGTACCAGAAGGATTTAATGATTTATACAACCAACGTCGCAGATGGACAAATTCTACATTGGCAAATATTCTTGATGTCTTACTTGATTGGCAAAAGGTGAAAAAGAAGAATGAGAATATTTCCTATCTGTATATTGCTTACCAGATGTTTTTGTTTGTATCAACGTTGTTAACACCTGGAACAATATTTCTGACAATCTTTGGATCAATCATTGTTGGATTTGATGGAATACCACCATGGTTATCCCTTATTCTAAATTTGATACCTTTTGGCATATTTGTGCTTATGACACTGTATTCGTCATCTAACAAACAGGTTTGTTTATTAAGTAGCTTCTTATTTAGCGGAGTTGTTTTATACTTTATATTGGTAATGACTCAATAAACAAATTGACATCGTGCTGCATGCAATGATGTATTTATTCAATATATAATCTTGAATTTATTCAGTATATAATATTTGTATTGATTAAAAATATAATCTTGTATTGATTCAATATTTATTCTTGTATTAATTCAATACAAGTTCATGTACAGCGATGGATATATAATGATATTTTATAGTTACATTATGCATTTTGTGTATAACATGGTTGTATAAGGAAAAATGTTGACTGTAGTGTTATACCAGACATAAAACATAAGTTCAATCACTATAAAACCAATATGATATGATTTATATGTAATTTGTCTCCGGTAAAACACAATTATCCTTATCTCCCCTTTATATTGGTTTACAATAGGGAATTTATGTCATAATCGAAACGGATGAAATAAGGCATTTAGCGAATATAAGAGTGTGATTGATTTCCGTTGAAACTTAATATGCGTGTCTGCGGGATGCATCGAATGGAAATATTCTGTAGTTAAAACTGACTAATTTTTCGAAATGGCCTGCAAATTTCATCAATTGGAGTAGGGTATTCTATTAATTGCTGATTTGTATTTTTGTTCAGTCATTAATAGGAAAATAATGTCATTATTGGAAGTGAAATTAATGTGATTCATTTGTTGACTGATTCGACCGCGACAATTCACTTATTTTGTTAACCCAAAACATTAAATCAAACCGACATAAAAAATCAAATTGCACGTGGTCGCTTTCTATTTATATTGATGTTTATACTTAAATACACGTGAAATACTTATATATATTATCTAGTCCATGCATTATTCATTGTTTATTTCAGAATTTGAAATTTGTAATTTGGATATACGTTTGAGTGTTTTATATAATATCAAATATGAGAATTTAGGTCAAAACGGTGATTATGAATTTGATAGTTAAAGCCCATTTAAGAAAGCAATTACTTCCTAAATTCTTTACTTAAAATTATTAACGAATTGAGCCCCTCCAAAAAATATTAAAAAGGACTATGTTATAGGATTAGAAAAGCACTGAGGAATTTAAAACTGAAAATTCATACTTCATGTTTCATTAAGTATATATATTGGCTACTAAAATATATATGATACTAGAACGGTTGATTATTTGATACCGGGTTTGGTAGTATATTATATAAAAGTGAATTTTATATTATCAATAATTTGATATCACTAAGCTGTATTACCCGTTAAAAGAAGGTGGATGTCAAATTCTAATAATTTGTATATCTGCTTTATACTGTAGCTTCAGTTTGCTGCCGTTTTATCCTCTGTTTACGTGATTGTTATGATGATTGTACTGATTGGTGTGGTAAAAGATGCTATAGGTGAAGGACTCTGCTCTATGACGACGATTTCTATCATATTTGTTGCAGGTGTTTTAGTGATAGTGTTCTTAGTTCACTCGAAGGTATGCAATGAAGTATTTTTGGGGTATGAATACTTGACACAAAATCATTACACATATATGAAAAAGTTAGAAATTATCATTGTTTACTAAATGAAAAAGATATGTGATTTTGTAAATTTACATTTTACCATTCCAATTTTATAAATCTTTACAACAATCCCAACGATCTATGTCAATGTGATGTTTTTTTTTTTTAAATGTATCAAAAATATATTCCAAAACCAGCATTAGCTCAGAGCTTATGATATCAAACAACGAGCTAGTATTTCTATTAATGCACATATTTGATCCATAGTAGTAATAACAAAATATAAATCAAGAAGACACAAAATATAAACACGCTCTTGAATTAGACACAATTAACATGATTAAAAAAGTAGTGCTAATATTGGTGTTCTTCGTCTCAACGTAGACGGTCTGTTTTGAAATACAATTCAAAATAATTGTGTCTGACCAAATTGGTAGTAGATATATCATTATTTGTTAGAAAAACATTTCAATATCTTTACAGGAGGTTATCTTCATTATGCAAGGATTGGTGTATTTTGTGGCTATACCTTCAATGTCCATGTTGATGTTTCTGTATTCAATTGGAAATCTACACGTAGTACCATTTGGTATAAGGAAAACTAATCTTGTGTCTGCAAATACAAAACCAGGGACCAAACATATACCGGAAAAAGATGAAAGGGGATATTTTTGTTCAATTGGGAAATTTTTCAGGTATGTTAATATTTGATATAAAGTTTGCGATTTCTATAATTTCAAATTGAATAGTCAATCCTGTAATCTTTGTTGTGACCATTACACTTTGATATCTTTTAGTAAATCTTTATCTGTCGAAACTGTAAACTTTCTTTCTAATTCGCTTGTTTTTTTTTTCGACTTTAATTGAGTATCTTTTTGCTGATTTTGTTATTTAACACATTCAATACAATTAATAACGTTTTATAGAACATCAAAGTAATGTGTTTGAGAAATAATTCATGCAATTCACAGATTTACTGGAAATGTTTACATTGCCAATGCTGATATATATAATAATTGTGTTCCAAGGAATATAAAATCAAATATAATTGCTATTAGTGTGAGAATGATAAAAAAAAATCTTTATATTGTATGAATTATTTCGATTTTAATTTATTGAACAAGTACCGAAGTTTTTTTAAAGCTGAAAAATAGATCAGTGGGCTGTATGTGTGACTGTTTCATATTATCCCTGTAAGCTATAAATGACCCAGAAATGACAAATGTAAAACAATTTAAACGACGAAATTAACTTTTTTAAAATGATGTACCTGGGACAGTGGTGTTACAGAACAACACAATAAAATACTATAAAGATCAGTTGAAAAGGCTTAACTCATCAGATAGTTACAAATAGAAATACATTTAACAAAAACACAGAGTGGACGTGCATGTGTACTTATACATCCACATAAAAGAAAGACAATAAGTACAGATCTGAACGTACTCGCAGTTACTGACAATAAGTTCATAGCCGATAACAACGAACGAAAACAATCATGTATCAATGATAAAAAATTCCACCAGTACACATCCAACATCCAATGGACTTATTAAAAAGACGTCATTAAAAAAAGAGACAAACTTGAACTTGTGCAATGCCAAAATACAGGTATCGACAGATTGTAGAGCCTTTAATGTGAATATGTTTATAAGAATAATATTTAGTTCGATTATAATTTACTGATAATAAAATCAATAATACCAACACAAACAATATTTAAAGATCTATTTGCATTGTTGAATTCGTAACCTTTTAGAATATGTTTATTTAAAAGATCGATATGTTTACTTGGATCATTTTCAAATTTTCGGGCTCGGTAAACAACATTTTCGTATATTGAAGCAAATCAATGTTAGATGCTTTAAATACAATGTTCAATGATGTTTTACAATGTAAAATGTTAAACATTTCAGAATAAGGTTATTACAAAAATAAACAACTGCAACATGAGCGCATGATACGCCCGTCGAGTTTTCAAAGAATAAAGTTCAATAACTTTTCAATGTCATATCAGATATTTATAAAAATCCAAAGGGAGGTTATCATAATAGATATAAATTAGTCACCGAAGTTTAATAAAAAAAACTACTCATAGCACTTTCGGGATATTGTCCAAAAACTTGAAAGTCACCCTTTTTTATGTATAAAATCCCATAACTCGGAAACGTAAAATCTAACATTTATAAAAATCAAATGGGAGCTTACAATAATAGATATATAAACAATTCATCAAAATGTCAGGAAGACTGCTCAAAGCATTTTTGAGTTATTGTCCGAAAACTGAATAATCCTCCTTTTTGTAATGAATAAAACCCCATAACTCGGAAATGTAAAATCTAAAATGTATTAAAATCGAAAGGGAGCTCATGTCAATATATATTAACAATTCACCAAAGTTCTGTTGCAAATTGGTGAAAGCGTTTTTGAGTTATTGTAAGAAAACTGCAAAATACCCCTTTTTGTAATGAATAAAACCCCAAAAAACGAAAATGCAAAATCTAACATTTATAAAAAAAAAAAAGAAAGGAATCTCACGTCAATATACAATTATGGCCCGTAGAAAAAGGTGAATATCCAAAATTGTCAACACGAAAAGGTTGTGTTTTAGGGTTGACAATTTTGGATATTCGTCGCTTCTAAGGGGGCACAATTGTTTTATTATACCGAACTAACAGTGGAAGGACTTTTTGAACAATTGAAAAAGAACAAACATACGTTTAAGTTCAAAAATAAATTTGTGTCTAATTACCATTTCTCGTATACATGTACTACAAAGGTAGAATATTTTTGTAAAATATTGATGGCCCTAAAAAAGGACCATTTATAAAAAATATCCTCGACACTAGATGCATGTCCAAAGCATTTTTCCGCGTCACTCGAAGGGCTTCCTGTAACGTGAACGTTGCCATTTTGTTAACTTACGTCAGTGACGTCATTTTTATGGGAGAGAACTCGCGTACAGACCAAGAAACTCAAAAGGTTATTTGCCGGTGAATGAAACGGATATCCCCGCTGGTGTAACTTTCATTTCGTCCTTCCTTGCAGTTAAATGAAAATTATCTGAATTATTCTATGTCACATGATTACGTGTTATCCAGTAGAATTGTTTATAATATATGTAAGGTATAATAAAAGATATAAACAATTCACCAAAGTTTCATGCAAATTGGTTGAAACATTTTTTAGTTAATGTCCAACATGCTGACGACGGATAGACAGACAGACGGACGGACTGACAGACGGACAACGGAATACCATAATACGTCTGTTATAATTAGTAATTTTAACATGAATCGAATCTACATTTACGTGCTGAAAATATAACATCGTAAAATAAGGATGCAATGTTCCGTTAGTAACAGGTACAGCTAAAACTCGATATAAGTCTTTGTATCCAAAACCTAAAGAAATATACAAGTAAATGTTTAAGTTATTTGGTTACGAAATCCTTGACTAAATTATTTACCAGTGTTTCCTATATTTATTCATTGAAATCTTTAACGCCACCACATATACGGTCATAGCGGTCGAGTTAGGATATATAAACATCGTAAGATGAAACCAAAGGAAAAACATCACACAAAATGTGATAATACACCCCCACGTCCGGTCTGTGTTTTCGTTGGATGCTTTATGCTTTGTATCGATCTGATGAATTATAATTGATTTGTATACACCTGTTTACAGGACGTAATATGGTATGCCCTTGTCCGTTCTCCGACGGTCTGTGTGTTCTTCTGTTGTCAACATGCCGAACAAAAACTCAAATACGCGTTTACCGATTTACATGAAACTTTAGGGAATTGTTTCTATCTATTAATGTAAGGTCCTTTTCGATTTTTACAAATTTTAGATTTTAGGTTTCCAAGTTACATTTGTATGGGGTTTAATTTATGAAAAAAGTGGATTATTTTAGATTTCGAACAATAGCTCAAAAGTGCTTTAAGCAGATTTCATGAAACGTTGATGACTGTTCCAATACCCTAACTTTAGCTTTTATAAACTTCTGGTATGGTATTGATGAGTTATAAAACTTTATTCTTTAAAAAAGCGACGGGCAAATCAATCGCTCATGACGCAGCTCTTTATTATAGGTTATTGTTGTACTTTTACAAAACTGTCGGTAAGGAGGTAAAAGGTGGTTGACGCCGGTAAACTAGTTTAGCCCCGCCATATTCTATATTTACCTGTCCCAAGTCAGTAGCTGTAGTTCTGTGGTTATTGTTGGTGAATGTCAGTCATATTTTTTTTCGCAAATTGTTTTGTTATAGAATAGGCCGTTATTTTTCTCAATTGAACTGTTTCATATTTTTCATGTCGGGTATTTTACAACGACTTAAAAGTTTGAGTTTTCTCATTGTTGAGGGTTGTATGATTGCCTATAATGGCTTAAATCCACTTCATTTGAATAATGGAGGAAAGTTGTCTCATTAGCAGAAATGACACATCTCCCTATTTTAAACCTGCGACTGACTTAAAATCCTTATCTTAAGCCTGGATTTCTAGTATTCGTTTTATCATTTGATAAATTCATGCTGATGATAATGTGAACTTGTAAATCATGTAAATGGCAAATCAAAAAATTTACCGTCTGGAGGTGCGCCTTACAGAGGTGGAACGTACAAATTGGGTAATCAGTAAAATGTGACATGTTCTATTGGTATCGGGATCGGATTCAATCTGGAATTGTTAATTACTCAGATTAAAATTTTGTTGATCATTATTTTTTTTTGTTAATATTTTTTTTTTTGTAATTTCTGTCGTTTTGTATTACATAATTAACGTTTTTTACGTTGGCATCAATATTATTTGGTCTTTCTAGAAATGTGTAGTTTACTATCCATATCGGTACACGGAAAAAAGCATAAATGGGATCTAAGTCGCCATTGTGAATAGCCTATCCTTCTTTAAATAAAAAATAATTAAGAATATTTCTACGTGACTATATATCTTATGAAGACACTCATGTCCTTCCAAAATTATTCTTCTATCGGAAGCATGCATTGATTTTCCGATCAACGACATCCTTACTCGGCTATCCTGTCATTCAGGTCAAAATGTTCCTATTTCCCGGCAAAAGCACCGTGACTGCAACGTTGTTTCTCAATATAGATGAAATTAACGATAATAAAAACTCCGGGTTCGTTTGTTACAATGAAAATCACTCATAGACAGACGAGTGTTCTCTACTGACTTGAGACCTAAGGTCAATCGATTAGATTTAATACAGATTTTCATGTCTCGCGTCCTTCATAGAATATCTAAGATATGGATCGAAAATGTCTTCAAAAACAAACATGGCATGTAGTTGCAATGTCAGATAATCCTCTTATCCATCTCCACTGAAAATATCTAATATTTTCCCCAAAACTATTATTTTTATTTAAATAAAGGAATGTGCCTTTCTGTCAGATTTCGTCTACATATTTCCATATGAAGGATTTATGTAGTATTTAAACAAACGCGGATTTTGTGGTACAAGGGGCTGCTATCCTTATGGAGCTTCATACATGTATTATAAATGCATAGACTTTTAACAAGTATCACTCCAAAAGTTGCGCTATCAGCCTTTTTCCCATTTTTTAAAATCCCAGATCTGAACCTGATAAATCAATATATTTCAGTAAATACTCGATTCGAGGGATGTGTCTAGCAGGAAACAAGTGAGTTATGTTACCCCGTTTGCAAAAAATGTTTTATTTGTTTATTTTTAAGTTTCTTATGGGTTTTTATTAAGAAATTTGCTTTTGATATAAATATAGTCATCGTTTGTTGATGTGGTTCATAAGTGTTTCTTGTTTCTCGTTTTTTATATAGATTAGACCGTTGGTTTTCCCGTTCGAATGGTTTTACACTAGTAATTTTTGGGGCCCTTTATAGCTTGCTGTTCGATGTGAGCCAAGGCTCCGTGTTGATGACCGTACTTTGACCTATAATGGTTTACTTTTATAAATTTTGACTTGGATGGAGGGTTGTCTCATTGGCACTCATACCAAATCTTCTTATATCTAATAAACGATTCCATCCAAAAGTTTCCGAATGACAGAGTTATCTCCCATTTCGTCTCTGTTATTGAATTATTTAAAAACGACACGTTTGCCAGATACGTTGCTCTCGCCGGGCAATTGTAATATTTTGACCTGAATAAAAGAATAGCCGAGTAAGGGTGTCGTAGATAGGAATGATTGATGCATGTTTTTCAGCAAACGGGTATGGATAGTAAACTGCACACTGCTAGAAAACAATGAAATGTTGATGACAACGTTAGAAACGTAAATAATGTAATACAAGTAGATAGGAAATAGGAAAAAAATTGAAAACCAAGGACAAACAAAAACTTATTTTTGTTAGTTAATGTTTATATTCGCACAGTATATACCAACATAGACGGGATTTCCAATCCGATAATGTAGCGATGCATTGTTGTCAAATGCTTTCATATATAAATAAATAAATAAAACAAAATTCTTATGCGACAGTTGAATCCACCATGTTCCACATAAGAAAATGTCTGTAGCGAGTCAGAAATATGATTGTTGTTTATCATTCGTTTGGTGTGTTTTAGCTTTTAATTTTTGCCACTTGATTAAGGACTTTCTGTTTTGAATTTTCCTTGGAGTTCAGTATTTTTGCTATTTTCCTTGTTCATAAATAAAAACTCTTCTTTTATTTCTTCAAGCTGTATGTTTTGTCCAACAAATACTTACAACAAAGATGATTTCCTTTACTCAAATGTCATGAATGAAGTCAGAGATGTAAAATTTATGGTGAACACAGATAATGAAGCTACAAAGGTGAAACAGATGATTAATCAAGAGAAGGATTGTTCAAAAGGTAAATAGATAAATAAAGAAAAAGAACAAAGATAGGATGAAGATAATTAATTGAATGAAAAATAGGACACTGTAAAAGGAAAACAGAGACCGCCACGTCAATCAAAGTATCTGAAAATAGTCATATGTTACGTCTTTTGCCTTAATATAGGCTAGGCTTTGCTGTGACACGTCTTAGGTTGTATACGAAGATTATTAAGACGGTCCTACCTAAGATCTTCGAAGCCCACCCTAAAGTATGTCATGCTCATTTTCATAGTAAAAAAGATTGGATTTATTCTTAAATTACACCTCATATGAGAATGCCGGATTTTGATTGGTTGGTAGCCAGTGTATTTTTCACATATTATAAATTGTTTTTCTCATTTCAAACGACTTTGGCTGTTTTTTCACAATTGCCAGTGAACGTACATGTACCTCAAAGTCCACTCTATGCCGTGGTATTTGCCATTTTGGATATTCCTTTTCTACCCTCGCAAGCCTCTTCATGCTAAAATTATTCGGAACCTCTCATACCTTATCTCGATTATTAAGGCAACAAGATTAAGCAATATCGATAGATAGAGGTAATCCAAAAACTGTAAACAAAATATGTCAGACATCACGACTGCGATGCATCCTTGTCGTGATCCTATATTGAAGATTGCACTGTGTATATATAAAAGACAGTTATACAAATGAACGATTTAATGATGGAATGACAATGACGTTTACACTTAGATACCATGACGTGTATCAGTACAAATATAATTCCCGTGGTACTATGAAGGTCTCTACTTATCCTCAAAATTATGCATAAACATGTTTATTGGTAACAGCTTACTAGTAAAACATATTTAAGAGATGTTCATTCACTTGTACAAAAAATTTCAATCAAAATCTATTCGGTGTAAATAAAAAGATATTTTATGTTATGGAGGGTATTTACAAAAAATACTAGTCTTGGGACCGAACTTTCTCGCCCAGCTGCTTCAAAAGATCTCATTACTGCAAGTAAAAGAATACAAAGGGACAAACCCAAACTATGAATGAATGAATTAAGGTAACAACTTGACCGAAACAAATAAGTCAAACATACAAACGCAACATGAAAATGTAATATATGGTTAGGAAGGATATCTAATCTTTAAAATATTTACTATAACAACTATAATAATGTCATTAAGGCGAAGTGTACGTAATTAACTACTCCACAGAATTTTTTTTAAATTTTACATGTGGATTCTGCTTGTAAAAATACATCAGACAATAAAATAAAAAAAGGGGGTAACCGTTTTCGTTTTTCAGATACAAGCTGTTGAAATTAACAGCATGATAAGCCAAAAATACAAAGGATATATAGGGAAAATCATAAAAATCGGCAGATATTTTTACTTTATCAAGATTTTCTAATTCGTTGCTCCACAGAATTTTTTTAAAAATCGGTATGCGATTCAAAAATGAACGACGAACCCATTGGTGCAAAGAAAGTCCTTAGCAACCGTGCTAGTTTTCAAGCTATATCCTGTGGAAGTTTGATTTCTAGCGGAAAGAATAAAAACAATCGGCGACGTTATTGATGTCTACTGTAACGTCATCACAATTTCTACTCTATAACGCTATTATACCGTACAGTGTCGTAACAAAATCGTGAGTGTGTATAACCCATTTTCTTAATTATTGCAAATGCTCAAGCGTAATCAATTAATAAGGAAATAAAATGACTATTTTTTAAGGATATTTCTGCTGCCAAAAAAAAAGCAAATTGGCAAATAAATATACTGCAAGTGAAAGAAAGTTACTATATAGACTTAAACTCCATCTTTTTTTAATTAGACAGGGTTCCACTTCTTTTTTGAAATGCTTGTATTTATAGCTGACTATGGGCGTTGATCATTGTTGAAGGCCGTACGGTTACCTATAGTTGTTAATTTCTGTGTCATTTGGACTCTTGTGGAGAGTTGTCTTATTGGCAATCATGCCACATGTTCTTTTTTTATATTGTAATGTTCTAATAATTATGAATCAAATATCAAGTTTAAAATTGTCCCAGTAAACACAGCGTTGACAGAATGATTCTATACGTATTTAAATAATCGGTTATTTGGGATCGCGTATACACTTCTTTTTTAAAATCTTATTTCTGCATGTTTGTATTTTAAAAAAGTGAATATAATTTGCTGCATCTTTTCATCCTCACCATTTCCGGCGCTATTCGAGGGATTGCGCACAAAGCCCATTTTTTGTCAGGTTCACACGCGTGCACGTGACACAACTCTGCAATTTTTAAAAAAAAAATTCCTGTCTCGATCGCTTTCCCTTTTCTTTAACTACAGGACAAAGCATGATTTAATGTTTGCTGGAGATTTTAAGTAAAAAAGGAAATAATTTTTTGTTCCATAATTTGTTTAATATCCACATGCACGACTCCCAAAAAATAAGAAAACTGCATCTGCATATTATCTTGAGAATTTTTATGACTGTAATAAGGTCAAAAGAAGAACCCGCATATGAATTTTAGCAAAGTAAAACAGACCGGAGTTTTAACCTCACGTAGCACAGATCCTTCCCAGTGTTAGCCTTAGCATTGCGTATATTGTGTATAATGCTATAGCATTGTGTATTGTGTAATGCTAAAGCTTTGTGCATAGTGATATGCTATAAATTAATGTACTGGTGTAATGCTATAAGAATGTACCAAGAGCGATGCTATACGAGTTTACCTAGTATAGTGCCATACAAATTGTTCCTGTATATAATGCAAATGAATTGCAGTTTTGTTAATATAATATGAACATAAGGAGCTGTGGTATGATTGCAAATGAGACAACTATCTGCCACGTTTAAGGTAGATCGGGTGTCTTTTTCTGAGCGTCCGTTCTGATCATGTTAATTGCAAAAACTTTTTTGTTTTAAAAATATTTTACCAAGTATCATTTAATATACAACAAAATACCTAAAACTTGAAGTTTAAAGATTGAACTATCAAGAAATTAAGTGTCGCGTAAAGTATATTTAAAATTTTTGGGGATTTTTTCAAGAAAATAAGGCCCGTGACCCCTTATTCAGTTTTATTTGATATTTCGGAGTTATTAATGAAAAGCAATTCTCTCATCGAATTTTAGCCAATTCTATCGTTTAATGTTTCTGCAATAAGGAAAACTTAAGTTTCTCCTATATCAACAATATGAAATAACCCAAATTTCGTTAATTTCAATGTGTTATTACGAAAAAACAAGGTCCGTGATCCCCAGTTTTTATATTGAAATTTAAAATTACATTGACACAGAAGTCTTACAGAAGTTTAAGAAAAATCTATCGTCCAACATTTAGACACCCCAGCTACCTTAAAGGATGTGGATGTAAGCAATTGTTATATATAGGCAATCATGCGGCCTTCAACAATGAGAAAATCCATACCGTATATAGTCGCCGGGTTATAAAAAGCCCCGACATTGTAGAACTATTATTCATCACCCCTACCCCTTCTTCCCCTACCTTATATATACTACTGCTGAATGATACACAAAAGCACAACAAAAGAGAACAAATTTCGCTATCCCTTCGAAATCGGAATTTGATTAAGAAAAAATAACACTTTCTATTTTTATCATACATGTGTAGTTTCAGTTTCAACCATGGTTCTAAATTTAGATTTTACTTTCCCCAAAAATTGCGGACGGAATAGAAGACACCTGTTTATTTTCTGCACCTTGAAAACTGAGATTTGGATGACATAGATTTTACATATTCTGAGATAAATGTAATAGTGAACAATTCTTAGTTTCTGAGTGTGTAATGTTTTGTGGACGGAATCTGATGGTTTTTTTTTTGCTGTTGGCTTTTTCTTCGGCTTATAAATGTTGTACTAGTGGTCGATTACCCCTTAGTATCTTTTATACTTTTTACATAAATAATAAAATATAAAACATCATAAAATTTTCAATTGCATAAAAACGGACATGCCAACGTCTTTCTTGTTCAAGACACAAATTCACATGCAATATAATTATTCGTTACCTACAATTTTACGCTACAGGATCTACACTGTGCATTTCATTCAAAACTATGGTTTTTCAAAAAATATTATGGGGTCAATTCTGGTTTGATTTTAATGAATTTGATACGAATAGAAGCAGAATTGTCACTGGTTTATTTTTTATTTGGTTATAATTTTGTTGTTTAGGCGTTTTTACCTTCTGTTGAAATAAACACGAGTCGTATTGTGTACCTGCTCCTGCGTGTCTAAAACAAAAGCAGTGGTAATAGAGTCAGACTAACTCACAATAGGATACTCAGATTTCTGATTGGAGTCATTCTAATTATTTCTTTGAAGTTTTGAGATAGCACATGAATACTTGTTTGAATTCATGATAGACCGCACGAAGTCATTTCTCTTTCATGTGCCCATTTTTCCTTTCTTGGAGTAGGGGAGATAACCCGCGTAACTAACGACGCACGTTTTTTATCCTGAATTCCGCTAGAGGCGTGCAATTACGTACACTTCGCCTTAAATACACAATAACCTGCATATGTGGTTTAAAATCTTACAATGAATTATGTATTCGAATATTTATCGAGATTGACCTTTTCCCTCATACAAAGCTCTGATGCCTTGCCCGGCTTTAGATATTTCTTGTCCTTTTTGGTTTGATCAGCTTATAAATTGTTTGATAAGTTTTAGATTTCAAATATTTTGGTCTCAAGCATCACTGAAGAGACATTTATTATCGAGATGTGCAGTACCATGGTGCAGATAGATTAATGTTATTATCTTAACTATTAAACATGTCAAAGCACTATTGGAGATAAACAATGTGCTATTTAAACACAAAAAAGCAGATGGCAGTATCCTAAGTAATTGCAAAAACTTCAATAGACGGCTGTTCCTAGGACAAAAAAATATTAGTTGCATCTAAAGATCATGAACAACAATTCCAATGACGTAAAAACCAGAAATATATAAGATCTTTGAGCAAAACAAATCAGTTTTTTAAGCTCTTTCCGAAATTTTATCATACA